AAATAATAATTAGTAATTAGTAGTTAGTTAGTAGTCTCTCATAAGCAACTAAAAAAATGCCTAGAGGAATCAGGAACAGCTCGATGGAAATGCTTGGGTTGGGTCTGCAACCTCCTCAAAAGAACATGCAACTAACTTTGAAAAAAAAAAAAAATGAACTTTGAAAAATGTCAACAAAAACAAAACATTAAAATGGGAAATGTGAATCATTATTCCACTTACGCTCTCTTTTGTATCTGGAAGGCAGATTCTCCTTTTCTGTTTTCTTCTGAAGAGCAGCTGATTCCTGCACTTTAACTGGTTCGGGCCAACCATCATCTGGTATATTTCTCTGCCCTGCTTCAGAAATTTCATCCAAAAGCGACCTACCTCCTCCTACTTCTACGCTGGTGGCAGCCATTTGACGGTATACAACTTTTCTGCTCGTCAGCTATCTGTACGGCTGCCGGATTAGCGCCAAACCTCATACGGATCAGCTGGTAATTGGTTTATATAGAAACCTTGAGTCGGGTGTTTTTCGGACAGTTATGACAAAGAATGGACTTGAGAACTTGGTAAAGACCAGGAAGAATGATGGGAAAATATAAAGAGGACGGCAAAAAAAAAAAAATATATATATATATTGATGGGGCCAGACAAGAACATTAACTATATCATTGATTCTGGTTATCGGGGGGGGGGGGGGGGGGGTAGCGTAACATGACAGTCGAAGTTTATTAGCGGCGTACACGATAACGAAGACATAAACATGGCCAGTCAATCGCCAAAGTTCCTGGTTATGTGACGATGATGACAGATGAATGTAGATGATAAACGGTCGTTTCTGACAATCTGTAGTCTTTCATTATCTCTATTATTATTATCCTCATTGCACTCCGGACATGTCCATAGGTGCTCAGATCCTCCCCTCAATATGAACCCCAACGTCCGATGGCTAATAGTACCAGTTCTATGTTGATTAAAACGTCTTCTGGCGTGTCTGGTGTGCGTCTCGTTTTTTGCTGTGCCGATCTTAATTCCCAAGTCTGCCATTCTGGCGAGTGATGTGGATTCACTGCCACCAAAGTCCTCTATCCTTCCCATTTCTCCGAGGGCATTGATAATATCAGCATGATCCACAGGCTGACCGTCGGTAGTGATAGCAGATCCAGCCAACCTGCTCTTTCATTTCCATCGACGCCTGCGTGTCCCGGAACAAAAATAAAGGTGACTCCACGCACACTGGACTTCTGTAATGATTCAAGCCATTGTCTTCGCACTGAACCTGCCTGAACCCTTCGGATCATACTCATTGAATCACTGAGTATACACACGCGGGTGTATTTTTGTGTTTCAAGCCAGGCAAGCGCTTGCGTCACTGCCATCACCTCCATCGTCATGCTGCTGGTTGTCATGGAGAAGCCGTTGCATCTGCTTCGTCTGAATTTTCACCGATTTGAGCATTGACCTCTGCATTAACAGCAACAAGATTCTCTTCTCTACATCGCCTGTTGAGTGTGACAATACAGGAAAATGTACAAATAAACGCCTGAGGCACAGGTATCCATTCTGCACCAGGTATGATGTCGGTTAGGCTGCATGTTTGCCTAATAACATCTTCTGCCCGACCTAGCCACGATTTCCCCCTCTTCAGTCTGTCGCCCTTTTCACCAAAAAGCGCTTGATGCAGTGGGTGTTTCTTATCAGCACATATTTTGAGATATGCCCGAGCCCTCCACATCCTGATCCTTTGGTTCATTGTTGGAAAGTCAAGTAGATACCTCATTGCTCCACAGGATGTGTCTCTTGTACATCCCAAAATAATGCGCATGGCAATGCGTGGTGTGTGTGTGTGTGTATTTGTATGTGTGTATGATGAAGAGAGAAATCTAAGGCAGACGACAAGAGGTAGACCTCGAAACAATAAGAAGTAGGATATAACCACAAAATGGATGGAAGCTGCCTAAGAATAAACTACCAGGGCGAGTGTCGGACATTAAATACCTCAAACCTTCATTGAAGAGGTGGCATCTGACTAATTAAATCGCTGCTACTCATTTTCCGTTTGAGACATAGACATTTTGAATGCAAAATTTTTACGTCAGGTATACTGGACTTCGAAGCCACCCGCATGCGATTTGGAAGCTGATTGATTTGTGCTGATTTTGACAATGGGTTGGAGGTCAAATGATTTAGAAAGCAGTTGCAAACTACTGGACGAATCATTCCTACCACCCCCTCCCCCAATCATCATCAATCAGCAAGTTCTTGATTCTTATCAGAACGTCGCTCTCTTCACGGCACGCCTGAAAGTCTCTTTTTGTCTAGCCAATTCTATATAACAAAATGAACCTGTTCTGTTGTATGACAGCGAATCTTAGAATGTCAGTGAACAAAATTGGGAAGAATTTGGAATCAACAGAGATGTGGTTTCTGAGACGAATGTTACGAATACCTTGGACAGCCCCTTACAAACGCTGGGGTGGGGATTCAAGGGACCCGAGCTCCAGATTCCGGTGCTTATGGTGAAAACCCGTTCTCGACTCAACTTGATGATGATGAATGGGCAGTTGAGCAACGAATACGAAAAATTTTCAGTATCGATTCTTCGCAACAATTCCCGGAGAATGTAAATTGTTTCCCCAGAGCATTTCCTGAGAGTTATCTACTATTTAATTAATCGATCAGTTTTGCATTTGAAATGTTTGTTTATAGTTTTAGGATGAAACATTTATATACTTTTAAAGCATTCAGTCGTTATGATGACAATGTTTGTTGACAGTTATAATTATTGCTTCAAATAAAGTCAAGGGTGGCAACGTTTTGTGATCAATCAACGAACATGAAAACCAGAAGCCATGGGCTGGTAGTTCAGTATTTAAGTAGTTTTTGCTGTAATAAATTCTGTAATATAATCAAAAATAGTAAAAGAATTACACAGTTTAGGTACTTCACTTGTGCCTCTGTTCAGTGCGGATCTAGTTGGAACAACTACCAGATACAGCATGTACGACGTTTGAGCTCAGCTAGCAGGTAACGAAACTAAACTAATTATAGATTAATTAATTGAGTGGGTACCAGGACAGCACTGGGAAGTAAAGGCGGCCGGTGGAATGCTGACCTCATCACCCACCAGGTGTTGTCAATCTATTAAATAAAGTTCTAGCCATATATACCTGTGTTTGGGTCTGTGCTCGTATGTCTGTGTGTGTGTCTGTTTCTGTCGGTGTGTCTGTGTGTGCATCTGTATGTATGTATATTGTATGTATGTATGTATGTGGAATGTGCGTGTCTGTAGGTAGGTATGTATGCGGGTAAATTGAAGTGTGTTTATGTGTGTGTGTATATAAGCGTGTTTAAGTGAGTGGGTGTGTGTGTGCTAGTGTGTGCATGTATTTTACCACCCATGCTTTTTTTTTCTCTTGATATTCGTTCCTAGTGCAAGATATCCCACAGTCCTACATTAATTAATGGTTGACTGTGAGTGCTAGGTATAATTTGTTGTCCTCCCACTTGTATCCTTGCCTACCTCTTGCTGTCTTACCTTTGACTTTTCCTTCCAGTATGGTTTTAAAAGAGTGTTATGTCTTTTAATATGGCCAAAATATATTTCAATAGTCAATTTGTTTAAAACAATTCTTTTTTCATTCCCAGTCCCTCCAGACCTCGAAACCTCTGTATTTTATAGTTATCTGAGAGTGTTAAAAACCTTCTCACACATGCTGACTATTGCGAAGATTCAACTTTACTCTTTCGACTGATTGATATTCAACCCCACCAGGACATCACACAGCCAAAAACACCCAGTGACACAAAGTGCCACCATTCATATGAGAATCACCTGGGTACATGTCCCAAAAACCCTGTTAAACCGTTAGGTTATATTAGGGCCCCTGTCCACAGCCGAGGTGGCCATAAACCGAGTGCTTCTTAGCAAAAGAGAAATTGGCAAGAAAACCAAAAGGGCTTTTTACTGCTCTACCTATGTGCCAGACCAATGGGTTGAGTCACGGGCAATGACAACAGCTCACAGAAGCCAGTTTCAGGCCTCAGAAATGAGATATCTGAGAAAGGTGGTCCAAGTGACAAGGAGGGACAAAGCTCTGCAGTCAGACAATATGTCAAGATCTTGATACCCAGGCCTTACAAACCTGAGTGAATCAGTCACAATTATGATGTTTTGGTCATGTATGCAGAAGGAAAAAATCGGCCACCATGGCAAGCAGGGAAAGCTAAGAACCAGGGAACCAGACCTCAAGGGCGACCCAGAGTCTTTTGTGAAAATAACATTTGACATTCCTTAACTGACAGAGGACTGAAATGGAATAAAGCCAGAAAGAAAACTGTTGACAGAGAAGTCTGACGAGCTCACTGGCAAACCTCTACACTCCAAAGTAGAAGAGGAGCGACTAAGTAAGTAAGTAAGTAAGGATACAGCATACCCATGCTCTTATTGCCATTATTACTGCTTCAGTCAGGCATCATCTATGATTTTCTGGGACTGAAAGAGTTAACTTTCACTATCAAGGAACTCACCATTTGATCAGTGATAACACTATGTATGGTACACATGTCTTTACTTTTCCTATCCCATTCTTTTTTTAATGTTAACTTCTTATTTTCAAGTTGTTATTATAAAACATTCTCTCCCAAAGCTGTACTTTTCAGCTCTCTAAGACTTTAAATAAATAGTTGCTGCTCTAGAATATACAAACTTTAGTATAGACATTGTTGATTTTGACACTATCTGGGACCAAAAGAGTTGACAAGCATGTTGTACAAGACAACTTATTTTGGATGTTTCCTTCGAAGTCAGAGTGTATCAGCCTGAAAGCGGAGGAATCAACAGTCTTTCCACCAGAGTTTACAGTCAGTGAAAGTTAAGAAGAAGAAGAATGGGTTAAAAGTTACTGAAGAATGGGATAAAAAAGTTAAGAAAGGTACACCATGTATAAAGGAACTAAAAATAGTTTATTCCATTGTTTAGTACTGAAAAAGTTTATATTGCTGTGTTTTTGCAGATTTTTTAAGGCCATTAAAATAGATGGGAAGGTTATTGCTCAAGAGATCAATGATGAGGTCAAGAAGGAAGTGGAAGCTCTCAAAGCAGCAGGAAAGAGAGCCCCACATCTAGCAGTGTTGCTTATAGGCAGTGATCCAGCAAGTGTGGTTTATGTCAAGAACAAAGCTAAAACAGCCGAGTACACAGGTTTTCTTTAAACCTTTTTTGTTTTTGTTTAAATAGTTTGTTGTCAGTCATTTATTTACATAGAAATTGTCTAACCAGTTAAGTATTTATATTGCAGATTATTTGCAAGTTGCTTGTGTTGCAACTTTAAAACTTGTAGTGTGATTGCTTCTTTGATTATTTATCAGCAGGTGAGTTCACATATTGAACTCAGCTGTGTTTTTGTGTGTGACATTTAAAGTCAAGTTAAAGTTTAGAGAATTGACTTTGGGTGTTTTACCATATGGCTCAGTCTCTCCACACAGAATGGATAGCAACACAGAACACAAACTCTGTAGCTCCAGCAACGATCCCCATAGATCTCCGCAAAAATTGCACTCGTGAACAGCCTTGAAACAAACCCACAACCTCCAAAGCCTGAGGCAAACGGCTTGACCACTTCATCATGAAGTTGGAGGGTGAAGGGAAAGGTTTCAGCACCACCCCCAATCACACCTTCCTCATCCCCTAGGTAAACAGTTTAACCCCTTCCTTCGAAGTCTGAGTACGTCTGCCTGAGAGGAAAGGAACCAACAGTCTGCACACAGATGCGTCAGATCTGTCAAACTGTTGCACACGCAACACTCAGGTTCTGGAACAGGACTGCAGTCCAGAAGTGGATGGACAACCAGAACTTTCCACCAGAGTTTTACAGCTGGTGAACGCAAAGAAGAAGAAGTTCAACCCCCATCCCCAGTCACACCTTTCTCATCACCTAGGCAAACAGTTCAACCCCCATCCCCAGTCACACCTTTCTCATCACCTAGGCAAACAGTTCAACCCCCATCCCCAGTCACACCTTTCTCATCACCTAGGCAAACAGTTCAACTCCCATCCCCAGTCACACCTTCCTCATCACCTAGACAAACAGTTCAACCCCTACCCCCAATCACACTTTCCTCATCACCTAGACAAACAGTTCAAACCCTACCCCCAATCACACTTACCTCATCACCTAGTCAAACAGTTCAAACCCTACCCCCAATCACACTTTCCTCATCACCTAGACAAACAGTTAAACCCCCACCCCCAATCACACCTTTCTCATCACTTAGACAAACAGTTCAACCCCCACCCCCAATCACACTTTCCTCATCACCTAGACAAACAGTTCAACCCCCATCCCCAGTCACACCTTCTTCATCACCCAGACAAACAGTTTAACCCCCATCCCCAGTCACACCTTCTTCATCACCCAGACAAACAGTTCAACCCCATCCCTAGTCACACCTTCCTCATCATCCAGACAAACAGTTAAACCCCCATCCCTAGTCACACCTTCCTCATCACTCAGACAAACAGTTAAACCCCCATCCCCAGTCAAACCTTCCTCATCACCCAGACAAACAGTTAAACCCCCATCCCCAGTCACACCTTCTTTATCACCTAGACAAACAGTTAAACCCCCCATCCCCAGTCACACCTTCTTTATCACCTAGACAAACAGTTAAACCCCCCATCCCCAGTCAAACTTTCCTCATCACCTAGACAAACAGTTCAACCCCCAACCCCAGTTAGTCATCTTTAGTTTCATAATGCTTTCCAGAGCTTTACAAACTGTTTGTCATGACACATTAGTGTGTTGGCTGCAGTGTGAAAGTCTATCGCCATGAAAGTAAAGTGTTAAACTGAACAATTGGCATGGAGCATTATTTTTCAACCTCTGGTTTGCTAGTAGATTTATTAATTAGACTGTGTGTCACAGAATTATGTTTGTCTAAAAAGTTTGTCACCAATTTGAAAAGTTTGGAAAACTCTGGCTTAGAATTTAGTGTGGAAGTAGTTGGCCATTATGGTCAGCTAGTAGAGCTTTCTTAGCTTGATGATCTCTACACTTTTGACCCTGATGTCATAGAGAAAACCTAATTCTACTGACCATTAATTAGGACCCCCCCCCCCCCCCCCCCCCCAAAAAAAAAAAAAAAATAATTTAAAAAACACACAATTTTATGCAGGTCATAAAAAAAAATCCTAAATATTTCCATGTATCCCCAAGAACAATATTAAAATCCATACAGAATCATCATCATCAAGTGCCCTGCTGACTATGTGGGCGATCATGCCTCTTCACGATCAGCAATCTACTGCGTGTATCACTTTGGGTGTTGACACCCCTCCATGTCATGACAAAAGACTGTCAAGAATCTTTTCATTCTGTCTTCTTCTGTCTCTTTTTCCACAGATCTTTCCAGTGGTCACAACATGTTCCATTTCCCTTCTTCTCATAACATGCCCAAAAAATGATGACTCTCTCTTTCTGATGTTTGTGATAAGTTGTCTTCGAGCATTTGCCTCTTTCAAAACATCTGGGTTGCTCTTCTTAGCTGTCCAAGGAATTCTAAGGATTCTTCTGTAAAACCACATCTCCGCGGCCTCAAGATATTGTTCGGCTTGTTGATTAATTGTTGAGGCTTCACAGCCGTAAAGAATACTTGAAGTCATCAGTAAAGAATTAGTAAAGGAGAGAAGTGTACAGTTACTTATTTTTTTAATCCCATCACATGGTCGCAGGTTGACTGAAAGGTTGATCCATTCTAAAATGGGTACCAGGTGATGTCCTGGAAAGTAAAGGGGACCAGTGTTATGTTGACACAATCTCCAACTGAGTACCCGTCGGTCTGTAAATATGAGTCTAGAATCATATACCTGATTACAGGTTCAGATTCACAATAGAGGACACAAAACAAGAAACTAAGGAGAATAAACTGGATGGAGGATGACCTAGGAAGAAAAACACCAGGAAGACAAGGATATAAAGAACACACAGGGACAAAGTGGAAGGAGCGGTCTGTTTATCATAATAGGGACACCAAGCCAGAGAGCTGGCAAACATACCATAATCTTAGCCACAAAAGTGGTACCTATAAACCAGACCATAATTATAACCGGAGACTGTTGGCAGCTTCAGTTGCCAACAGCAGGTTGAATGTGGTGGACTTGAATCGAGGAGGATGATGATGATGATGATATGCCTGATACATCTATGGCATAATGAAGATCTTTTATGTTACTTTTAATCAGGTCGCCACTTGCACCATTGGCATGAGAACTCTTTGTTGTCTACTGAAGGAGGGGATGGAGCATGTGTGATAATATGGAGAGTTTAATTAATTAATTAATGAAATCATGCACACATTAATTCTGTCATTAATTAATTCAATAATATTAGCTAAATCTTGAAATATATTACAAAACAGTCTTGACCTTAACCAATAGAATCTCATTTTTAGGAATTTCATGTGACATTTTACGCATACCAAAATCCGTGACGGAAGAGGAGCTCTTAAAGGAGATCAGCTTTCTGAACAGCCTCTCAGAAAATGATGGTATACTTATCCAGCTCCCCTTGCCCTCTCACATAAACGAAAGGACTATATGTGACGCTGTGTTGCCACAGAAAGATGTGGATGGCTTCAATGTTTTAAATGTGGGTCGGTTTTGTGTGGATCAGAGAGCTTTTATTCCAGCAACCCCATCAGGAGTTCTGGAGATAATCCGCAGACTAAGTAAGTCTTGGGTTCTGAAGTAATCTATTTACATAAAATGAACATTGTACATCTACATACATTGAATATATATTTACTTTATTTGCATCCACCCTTTTCAGCGCCTTGAGACCTATTAAGTATATAGTGATAGTCCTGTATTTTTATATACCACAGGGCAGTGGATGAATGATCTGGTCAGTATTATGTAGAGTGCATTTACTTCCATCATATCATAGCCTCTGTAGAGACCTGTGAAAGCCACTGCCAGGGAGAATGAAAAGAAGAAGAAGAAGCATTGATTCCTTAGTGTTGGTCAGTCTACGGTGCCAGCGAAAATAGTATATTTTGGTATGAATGAATCAAGAATTCTTCTTCTTCTTCTTTGCGTTCACCAGCTGTAAACTCTGGTGGAAAGTTCTGGTTGTTTGTCCACTTCTGGACTGCAGCCCTGTTCCAGAACCTGAGTGTTGCAAGTGCATCCGTTTGACAGATCTGACACATTTTTGTGCAGACTGTTGGTTCCTTGCTTCTCAGGCAGATGCACTCTGACTTTGAAGGAAGCTCCCAATTAGTCGACTCTTACGACAGACTTTTGGGTAGGCAGTGGGTCTTTTCTTGTTTTCTTTATAATAGGGTCCTGGAACCCACCCAAGGGAATCAAGAATTGACATCACTGCACTCGGGACATTCCCATACGTGCTCCGTCCCTTCTTCGGTTACCAGTGAAGAGTTGAAATACTTATAGTACAAGTTGAAACCTGATTAAAAGTCTGCCTGTTTCTGCTTTAATTTTGAATATCTTCCGGATATTCATATTACAACTTTATTATGTTTGCATCATAAATGAACTCAGTGTTGAATGTTGAAGTAAGATCATAGCACTTGGGTCACTCCCAAAAGCGCTCCATCCCCTATTTTCAGCAGCAAGCAAAGAGTTCCAATTCCGATGGTATCAGTAACTGTCTGATTGTACATCAGTCTCGCCTTTCCCTTGAGTTTTGAGCATCACCCAGATCCTCTGGGAGCTCCTGACAGCGCCATTCTCCTGAGACCATAATGATCTGTTTGTGCCTCTGCACTGTTCACTCGCTCCCAAAGGCCATCGCAACATCTAGCATGAATCAACTCAAAGGGAGAGAAGCCTGTGCTGCTTTGTGGTACATAAATATGTGTTCTTGGTAGAATTCTATGCAACCATATGACCTGTACTTTTGCAGGCTGTACATACAAATCTTATTTTTGATTTTTATCACAGATAGCATTAGTTAATTTTAAAAATTCAGCATAATCCCTCGGGACATCAGGTGTGAACTTGTTGTGGAGGAAACATTACAACCTGAGCCATTTTCGAAATGTTTTGTTTGTCATAAACTGTCTCTATCTTTACAGTCTGTATTTGCCACTTTTTCCGCCGGTGTAGGACAAGAGGGGTCTTTAGCCTGAGGATGTAGGACTGCATGGCTAGTGCTGTCACTATGAATGTGCAGTTATGATATTTTATTTTTACACCATACAGACAAAAACTTCCAGCAACTTGCCAAAAATTTGAACCCAGGTTTCCTACATGAGAGCCCAGTGTTTTAGCCACCTGGTCATTAGATTCTCGGCCGGGCTGACTCATAACCTAGTTATGTCCTTAAATGTCTGTCAGCAGATGTGAAGTTTCAGTGCTAGTCTTACACATCTCATTGGTTTTTGAGTTTTCTGTGGGGAGGCAGATTTCCGCAACACATGTAGATCATACCTTCGTACCAGATTTGAAGACTAGTCTCTACACCGCCTCATTCCTGTCAACACAAACTCTTTTTTGGACTTTGATGACCTGATCAGCAATGCATTGATTTTAAAAGTCAAAGCTCAGTCAGAGTATTCCTAATCAATGTATCATATACAAATGATTGATTTCACATGTGTGCCATTGTTCATTTAGTTAGGAGTTCCTTCAAACATGAACCTCTTCCCAGAATTTCTTCAGGACGACAGAATTGAGAAAGTCTGGTTTTTTATTGAATACTTCAGCCAGCTGACCTAAATATTTTCATTTCTTCTATCTTTGTCAGAAAAAAAAATTATGGTCTTCTTTTCATGTGCCTTTCATCTTCTTTTACAGTATAGCCCCTCTACCCAAATCACACCAAGCCATTTGTAGACTTACTAATGATTGATTGGATCTTGCAAGTGTAGTTTTCATTGGCTAAGATAAAAAGTTTCATACTAGCCCTCTTTAGCTCTCTAGCCCTGGGAACATGACCCCATTGGCATTCCAGAAGGATAAAAAAAAAAAACAGATTTAAAAACAAAGTACAGATCACTAATAAATTAAATTTGTATAAAATGTATTTATCTCCCCCTCCACCTCCACACACACACACAATTATATAAAGATACGTGGGGGGAGGGGGAAGGGGCTGGGAGTAATCAGTAAACAAAAACAGAGTGAAGCATTAAGTGGAATACATTCCCCGGGGTGCCTAGAAAAAACATGTATTGGGTGACTTATGACCTTTATCACTGAGTCTTATGGGAAAATTTGACATCAACTTGGCATTGAAAAAAGGGTATTTGGCTCAAAGGAAAATGGCCCTTAAATGCTGTTTTTAGTTAATGTTTTCTTATCTAACTTCCTAAATGTTTGAACAGGTATAAAAATAGCCAACAGCATTAACTATGCTTCTCTTCGGGGGCCGCGTTAGCGCAATCGATAAGAGGCTCGCTTTCAAATCCAGCTGCGACTCGCTGCAGCCCACGGTCGGTGTTCAAAACCGGGCGGTTTCCGGGGTTCACCCAGCCTCTAGTTAATGGGTACAGAGTGACACTCTGGGGTAAATGGAAGAACGTCGCTGTAGCTACAGAGTTACGTGTGAACGGCAACTTAGGCGGACAATTCTTATCAGCTGTCCGTACTGATGGCAGAGCACTTATGGTTTATCACTGTGTGCAATGACGCTGGTTCACATCTCCTGACTTTACTTTTGCCTTTACTTTTATGCTTCTCGTAAACAGGTCACAATAGACAAGTCAGAAAAGTGACTTTTGTGGAAAATTTGACCCAGCCAGTAGTGTAATTTTTATGGCTTCTCGTGGTGAAATGGTTAGTTGCCTCTTCAACCTGAATGCTAGATTATAGTGTTATGTTTCTTTTCTTCTCTCATCGGCATTAAAAAAAAAGTATGAAAGAGAAGAAGGATCTTCTTATTTTTACTCATTATTTGCAATGCAAATTCTACTCACAGATGGCCTCTTCTGTTTCACTTTGTTATAAATTGTCTTGTGTATTTTATATAAATCAGAAATAGAGACACATGGCAAGAATGCTGTTGTTTGTGGAAGATCAAAGAATGTTGGACTGCCAATTGCCTTGCATCTTCATTCAGATAGCAATGGAGGAAACAGTGCAGGTAACATGTGCGTACTTAGGCTAACATTAAGGAAGGGTGGGTGGGTATATAGAAAGGTATGTAAGTAGATAGGTAGGCAAATACTTAAATAGCTTTTCAAAAGCTTTTTTAAAAAAACATGACAGGAAAATGTAAGGATATTGATTATCAGTTATAGAAATGTCATCAGTTATGGAAGCTGTAGTTGCTGATATTAATTACAACAGGAATGTTGTTGATTGTTGAATGTTGAATTAAGAGTTGACATCACAGCACCCGGGACACTCCCATAAGCGCTTTGTCCCCCATCTTCAGCAGCAAGCAAAGAATTACAATTCCAGTAACTGCCTGATTGTGTATCCGTCTTGCCCTTCCCTTGAGTGTTGGCCAGATTTCACTTCGTCCCAAAGGACCCTCACAACGTCTAGCTTGTCATACATTAGTTCACCACCAGGTGGTGCAGAACCGGCCAGTCTGCCTGCCTGCTCATTTCCCACCACACCGGCATACCTGGAGAAAATATCTAAAGTACGCCAACTACCCGGGACTTACAGTAGGAAAAAGGGAACAATACATGCCTTGCGGATGCATTGCCTTCTAACATTTTGATAACTCAAGATTTTGAGCTGCATTTAAATTGACACTTTTTTGCTTCTCTTCTTCTCCTGGAGAGGGTACGGTTATAGAGGCACGGTTATAGAGGCACGGTTATAGAATCAAGGTTATAGAGGCATGGTTATAAACAATTTATAACATTATTACTAATCCACCGCAAAAAAAAGTGGAAAATATGGAACAATAAGATACTTGTGTCTTTCTCACCAGTAGTGACATAGTAAAAACATTCACCATCTGTTTTCTAGCCTTCAAAGCAGTGGCTCGTGTTCACTGTTGCCACAGGTGCATAGCACTTATAACTTTGAGCTAGAAATGATTACATCAGCTGTTCCGGTTTTTGTTGTTGCTTCTGATTTTCGTTAAATGAGGGTCCACAATTTGTAGATATATGTGTGTACTATGTTTTGATACAGGAGATGCTACCACTAATGTATGATTTGATTTGATTTGATTCATGAACCGACATCACAGCACTCGGGGCATTCCCATAAGCGCTCCGTCCCCATCTTCAGCAGCCAGCAAAGAGTTCCGATACTAATGGTGCCAGTAGCTTTCTTAAACGTCCATCTTGCCTTTCCTCTGAGCCTTGAGCTTCTGCCAGAACCTCTCATCACCCCCAACTGCATCAATCTCACCAGACTGTGGTGATCCATCTGCTCCTCCGCATTGTACACGCTCTCCCACAAGACACTAACCATGTCTGCCCTATCATGTAGCAGTATTCCACCAAGTTGTGCAGAGCCAGCCAGTCTGTCCGCCTGTTCACTAATGTATATGCACTCTCTGGGTAGATGTAGGTGGGTTGGGGTTAGGGCCGGTTCTAGATGTTTTGAGGTCGTTAAAAGCATCAGAAAGCCGGGAAACCCAGTCTTACCACCCTCTAAAATTTTGGACTGTCCTGTGATATCATCTGGGGTAGGATATTAATAAAGAACCATATATTCTACTGTGTTTTGATACAGGCGATGCTACCACTACTATATGTCACAGAAACACACCACCAGAGCAGCTGAAGTTCTTCACTAAAGCAGCAGATATTCTGATAACTGCCACAGGTGTGCCAGGTCTTGTGACGGCAGACATGGTGAAAGATGGAGTAGTCGTCATTGACATTGGCATCACACGTATTGTTAATGAAAATGGCAAGCACAAACTTGTTGGTGATGTTGATTATGAAGGTAAATTGTAAATTGTTCCCTATGTAGTTATCACCTTGTAAATTGGTTTGTTTATAGGTAATATCCTGTAAATTGTTCGCCTATATGCATTACTTTATAAATTGATCTAAATATAGGCATTACTTTGTAAACTGATTCAGATATAAAGGTTATGTGTAGATTGGTATGTTTATAGGGATTACTTTTAAATTGGTCTGTGTCTTGGCTTGTTTATTACCTGTCCAGGTTTTACAGCCATCTTTTAAAACTGGCTCTAAATAGCATGCAAGAGTTCTTTTCCCAACCATCAGTGACATGGATCTGTTGCAAAAGATGTTCTTTATTTTATCAAATGCAGTTTTAGCCGGTCATATTCTGTTCTTTTCTTTGTGATACATCTTCTGTTGGATACTATCCCTGTGCCTAGATAGTTTAATTTCTGTACTTGTCAAAATATATTTTCACATACTGATTTTAATAAGAAATATCTTTGTTGGCAATTACAGGTGTCTCTGAGAAGGCCAGTTACATAACTCCGGTTCCTGGGGGTGTTGGTCCTGTTACTGTTGCCATGGTAATCAAAAACACACTTGCAGCCTACAAGAATGAAATAGATTTTGGAAAGAGTCATAGTGCAAAGTGACAGAAGGTGATAAACGGTATGAATGAAAATATAATTAATGATGAGTGCATCGTGAAAATAGAATCTAGGAGTGCATAGTATACTTTATCAGTTTTTACATGACAAAGCATATAAACATGTATGTGATGTTTGGGTACAACTCACTAAAGTCACCCCATCTTGTTGGCCACAAGATTTTATAGGAGACTTCTAGGGGTATCACATGTTCCTTATTTTAGACGTTTAAAGCACATCCACCACCGACGACAGCCACTGCCAACAAGTGTTAAAATACCCCTAAAAAAAATGATATTATATTCATGAACCATCGCACCTTCAGTGCTTTCCCCTGCTGTACTTCTTTCTTGCACACAGATGCCTTCAACAACAATACATTCCATAAATAGCAGTTGTTCACAGAAAAGAAAGTTGCGAAGACAGCGAAGAAAGATATCTCATAAAACCCCTTGAACATTGGACAGCCCATGGGAACCATTACGAAATCTCGTGACCAACGAGATGGGGTGTCTTTCATGAGTAGTACCGATGTTTGTAATCAATAAAGCTGCACAGAATCTATTTAGTTATGCTAGCAGTGCTCTGCAATGGCAGATATTATTTGTATTCTTCTTCTGCCCTTTATCCCCCAATGGAGCACATGCATCAGCCAACTCATGCCAAGTCGCCTTATCATTTAGTATCACATGCAGCTCACCCCATGTCCTCCCCATATTTTGAATTCAGTCTCTAATTCCCTACCCATGTGTTTTTTAGGCCTACCTTCATTCTGTTGGTCTTGTAGATTCCAGTGCAGGAACATTCTTGTTATATAGTTATCAGCTTTTCTCACTGTGTGTCCTTCCTGATACCAACATCTTCTCTTCACTACTTGATTCACTAAAATTTGTTAAGTTCTCTCACAAAGCAGATTAATGATTATGTCATGTCACTTAATTCTGTCAAATCTGCCCAGATAACAGTTAGTATACTTTATTTATGATTATTTTAGTTTTAATATTTTTAATAATAATGACAAAAGTAGAGAGAAGATTTTCAAATGGTTACGGATCTTTGATTTGCCATGTTATATATATTTATTTGTGATTTTTTTTTTTTTTTTTACAATGCTGTTTGAATGCTTTACAATGTTGTTTAAATTGATTAATTGTATAGGCACTTTGGTATTAGTTTTGATATTTATTTTTAAAAATTACCAATGACAAAGGTAAAGAGATGATACATTTTTTTAAACAACAGATCTCTGATTTACTTTGCTGACCAACTTTGACGATCTGCAAATTTCCAGTCATATTCTTTAGTAACCAGATTTGCCGATGTGCAAATTCGTGACGTGTAGGCTGTAAACAGACGGCCTTACCAATAGTTTTTTAATTAAGCTTCATCCGGGTGTTTTATTAATCCAAGAAAAGCTGCACCAAAAAAAAAACAAAAAAAAACTTGTGAAGCTTGACAATCTTCCTCCATATGAAGAGCAACAAGGTGCCATATCAGACACATTTGGGGGTGTGCTGATTGATTTTTCGAAGAAAAACCAGTTTGAAACTGAAAAAAGGTAGATTATTCTGTTTTATGTGACAAAATATAAAGGCATGTTGGAAATTACCAGGTGTGACACTAAGAGCGTTCACCTGATATCTACTGTTTACTTCAGTGGTGTTATGGACAAGACAGGAAAAGAGGAATTCTTGAGAGCAGAATAATAAATAAGCCAGTTCCAGCAGAAAAACACAACAAGAGTATTGTGGGAAGGGGGGAGGGTGTTATAGATCCTTTAACTATTATTTTTTTTTTAGTCGAAACTGCTTTGGTCAATAAGCATATAAGCTACAACATTGCCAACTCTATATATAAGATCACAGCAAAGGCAGGATGTCATTCTTGCTCTATTGAACCTGCTGTTCTTCAGCACAATGCAGCACCATCAAGACCCAACGTCACAGCATAATGACTTACAGAGCACCATTAAAAAAATAAGAAAGTCAACGTACACACCAGACTTGAAGGTGTGTAAGGTTGCAGGTAAAAGAAGCTAGACTTGCATATACTGCCAAGATTGCAAAGCACCTCTTTGCTTGATACCCTGTTTCAAGGTATACCACATGGTTGAGGATTATCAACATTCCTGACAAAGAGTGCTACTGCTAAGACACACTCCAGTTAATGAAGATAGTATCTCAGACTTCAAGTAGAGGTGCTTTTATAATCAAGCATTCACAAATGGTCATTGAAACATGAAAATAAACACAGTAAATGAAAACATTTTATTTTTCACTTTATTCACATTGTTTTTCTCTTAATGTTGAAATATTTGGTTGTTCATTAAAAAAGTTGCTCCTATTCAACATTTTATTGCACTGACATGTAAAAGATCCACTAAGAACTGGAAAAAGATGATGGTTTTCAAAACATCTGAAATTTCTATAAATAGCCAGACAAATCAAGATGGCCACCATGATCATGTGACATATTTGCACAATATATCCTTTTTTTTTTTCATGTGTAGCAACCATTCACAGTCATGCTATAAAGGTTTCAAAACCCTATGCTTGTTTTTGATTTATTAATGAATTTAATTAGAAACCAGTCATTTTGAAAAAATCTCTAAACACCCTTGGTAATGGGAGACAGTAATGCCCCGGATTGTTTGTCAGCAAAGTGTTAAATATATTTATTTATGAATTTGTTTGCTTTATTATGTTTTTTGAATTGTAAATTGTTATAGGTATTTTGGTACTGATGTTAGTGATTTTGAGTAGGTGTATGCTAGTGACAATTTGTGTAAGTGTACGTAAGTAATGACATTGTGACGTTGTGTAAATATATGTTAGTGATAACTTTGTTTATTTTTTGTGGTAACTTTTATGTTACTTTTAAATTAAGTGTATAATAGGAAAAACCATAAATGTTGGTTAATGACATCGTGAATAGTTAGTTATACCTCTGTAAGAATGTGTTATTGATAATTGTAAATGTTAATATCTTTCTGTAAGTGTTGGTTAGTGATAACTGTCAAAATGTTAGTGAAAACTGTGTATGGTTATTTTATTATAATATAAAGTCTGAGCCTTTGTTGTTAAGTGATATTTTTTTTAAGTGTTCATAATGTCTCTGTAAATGTTATTTATTTATTGTTTAAGTGTTGATCAATCTTTTTCTTCTTCTTCATGCTCCCTGGCTGTGAACACTGGTGGAAAGTTCTGGTTGTTCATCTACCTCTGGACTTTATCTTGTTCCAGATCCGGGGTGTTTTATAGATCTAGCTTATTTGTATGCTGGTTATTTCCCTCTCAGACACATGCAGTCTGACTTCGAGGGCAGCCTCCAATTAGTCGAATCTTACGACCTGCTTGTTGGAGAGGCAGTGGGTTCAGTCTTTTTTTCCCTTCAGTGGGGCCCCGGAACCCACAGATAGAGTATTGGTGAAAGATGTCTGTGAATAGTGAGTGATAGTCTGTGTAAATGATTCTTTTGTCGAAGTGACAGCTCTGCGTAAATGAAATGATACTATTGTCTAAGTGACAGCTCTGTGTAAATGATAGTTTCACTGCAAGTTGAGTGTTGTTACTGATCACTCAATCAGTAAGGAAGCATTTTCACAAAATAAGGTCCCTGCCTAGATTCCAGAGCCCTATTTTTTTGGGGAAAAAAAGGAATAGACAGCCCTTGAACAAACGTGTTGTAAAAAGCAACTAATTAGGAAAGTTTCCATCGAAGTGAGAGTGCATCTGCCTGTGAGATGAGAAATCAACCGCCTGGCTGCAAATAAGCAAAATCTGTAAAACCAATGTCTATGCACAACTCCAATTTCAGAACAAGACCAGTATCCAGAAGTGGATGAATGACCAGAACCTGCTTCCAGAATTTATGGGCGGTGGAGGCTAAGAAAAAAGAAGACAACATGAAATTTGGCTACCATAGATCTTCAAACTCTTGGGTTCTTGCTCTGTTGGTATACCATCTGAGACTGCTATTTATCCATCTCTTGATGTTATGCTTCCATTTATAACACATATGCCTCTTGCACACTTATCTTCAACTTTTCTCTTCATTATAGCTTTTTAAAAAGAGTGTTGTACCTTTTAATTTGAAATATTTTAGTTGCTTCTTATTTTATTTCTCTCAATGGTGTTTTCATTCTCAGTCTTCTCATAACCTCAATATTTAAACTGACTTGATTCCGTCAGTGATTTCTGAAGGGTTTATATAGGATAGAACAAATTAGAGGATTAGAATGTGAGCCTTGTATATTGTATTAAAATAATAATCAAACAGGAAGATGAATACTCTGGATAAATATTTGCAATACTTCTGTGTACAAAGTTGTTTTACTGTAAAAGCATGACATCAAATACATTGAATAACAATTTTCTAAATAAAAACACATTCTTAAAAAAGGTGACCTACTCTGTTACTCTGTATTTAGATTTAGTCTTGAGCTTTGTCAAAATTCTTTGGGTTTACAAGGCGGTTTCACAATTCTGACATATCATGGTTTGAAATTAGCTGCAGACAATTTGGTAGCTTTCTGTTTTGGTTTGATTTTTGCTGTGTCTCCCACTCAACACTGAGGGGGAAACATCAGCGATCTTTTAATCGAGTGCAACTAATACTATTAGCATGTCAGCTCTTAGCTACTAAAGAAGGGGATGGGGCACATGTGGAAATGTGGAGAGTTCAATGACGTCAGTTCTTGATTCATTAATTCATTTGCTTTGAATTTGACAATGTTTTGTGCATTATATAGGGGGGGGGAGGGGGAGGGGGATTTGGAGCATCCTTTACCGCTAGAACTGTCACATCAGGCATATGAGGCTAGACTCAAGATTTTTTTAGAAGTTACAGTTAAAGATACCCTTGCTACCTAAGCTGCTAATTACTCTTCTCACCTCAGATGTTAAATTAACCCTCTGTACCTCAATTTTAATTTTTACAGTTACCATCACTACTTTAGTTGTTATAGTTACCCTTGCTACCTCAGTTAAGTTACCCTCTTCACCTCAGTTGTTGAAGTTACCCAGGCTACCTCAGTTGTTACAGTTACCCTCTATAGCTCAGTTGTTACAGTTACTCTCTCTACTTCAATTGTTTGTTACCCTCGCTACCTCAATTGTTACAGTTACCCTCTCTACTTCATTTGTTACAATTACCCTTTCTACCTCAGATGTTAGATTTACCCTCTGTACTTTAGTTAGTTACCCTCGCTACCTCAGTTGTTACAGTTACCCTTTCTACTTCAGTTGTTACAGTTACATCACTACCTCAGTTGTTAAAGTTACCCTCGCTACCTCAGTTGTTACAGTTACCCTCGCTACCTCAGTTGTTTCAGTTACCCTCTCTACCTTAATTGTTACAGTTAACCTTCACTACCTCAGTTGTTATAGATACCCTCTCTACCTCAGTTGTTATAGTTACCCTTTCTACCTCAATTGCCACAGTTACCTTTACTATCTCAGTTGTTACAGTTACCCTCTTAACTTCAGTAGTTATAGTTATCCTCGCTACCTCATTTGTTACAGTTACCCTCTCTACTTCACTTGTTACAGTTACCTTCTCTACTTTAGTTGTTACCGTTACCCTCTCTGCTTCAGTTGTTACAGTTACCCGCTCTGCTTCAGTTGTTACAGTTACCCTCTCTGCTTCAGTTGTTACAGTTACCCGCTCTGCTTCAGTTGTTACAGTTATCCTCTCTGCTTCATTGTTACAGTTACCCTCTCTGCTTTAGTTTTTACAGTTACCATCTCTGCTTCAGTTGTTACAGTTACCCTCTCTGCTTCAGTTGTTACAGTTATCCTCTCTGCTTCATTGTTACAGTTACCATCTCTGCTTCAGTTGTTACAGTTACCCTCTCTACTTAAGTTGTTACAGTTATCCTCTCTGCTTCATTGTTACAGTTACCCTCTCTGCTTTAGTTTTTACAGTTACCCTCTCTGCTTCAGTTGTTACAGTTACCCTCTCTGCTTCAGTTGTTACAGTTATCCTCTCTGCTTCAGTTGTTACAGTTACCCTCTCTACTTAAGTTGTTACAGTTATCCTCTCTGCTTCATTGTTACAGTTACCCTCTCTGCTTTAGTTTTTACAGTTACCCTCTCTGCTTCAGTTGTTACAGTTACCCTCTCTGCTTCAGTTGTTACAGTTATCCTCTCTGCTTCAGTTGTTACAGTTACCCTCTCTGCTTCAGTTGTTACAGTTACCCTCTCTGCTTCAGTTGTTACAGTTACCCTCTACTTCAGATGTTACAGTTACCCTTGCTACCTGAGATGTTAGATATACCCTTTCTACCTCGGCTGTTACATTTACTCGCTGTCTTACTAAATTGTTTCTTTGTTAGGAAAAATCGTAACCATCCTAATAGACATCTTGTAGAAAACTGGGAATCCAAACAAAGAATAAAGCACAAATCGGTTTTACACTGTGTTAATGAAATTCAGGACAGATACCACCTCCCAGAAAGACGTCAAGGAATTCAGAATGTTGCAAAAAACCTACCACCACATGCTCGCTTTAAAGCTCCAGAAGTCCAAACTAAATTGGTAGGCGAGGAAACCAAACAGTCCGACCCAATCGCTCTTATGAACTCATCACTAAAGACCGTTGATTCTTACCCCCAAGAATGGATACATGTCTATGCTGATGGATCAGCATTTAAAGCTACCATTAAAGCAGGTTACGGAATCTACATAGGTTATCCCGATGGATCTGTTGAAGAGATTTTTGATGCATGCGGGGAATTCTGTTCAAACTATGAAGCTGAAATAATTGCACTGGAAACAGCAGTATACCACCTAAAGACTGTAATGGATGTTTACCCCTCAAAGGTCCAAAATATTGTCATCTTCACAGATTCAATGTCTGCCCTTCAAGCTCTGGAGGGCAATGAACGCTGCAGAACTGACATAGCCAAGATAATCCTGGATGCCGATCAGCTTATTACCTCATACAACATCAGAATAGTGATGCAGTGGATTCCAGGTCACTCCGGCACACCAGGTAATGACAGAGCTGACAGATTGGCAAAGAAAGGAGCAACACAAGAACAACCACCTACAGCGACAACCCTCCAGACAGCAAAAACACTGATAAGAGCTATAAACAAAGAGACTTGGTTGAACAGATGGGCCATGGGAGACACTGGAAGAGAGGTTTATAGACATATGTCTGGCCCTGATCCTAATGACAGCATTAACCATCTAACAAGAAGGGACCAGGCCACCATCTTCAGACTTAGAACGCAACATACTCCACTCAATGGACACCTAAACAGAATACAGCCACAACACTCCCAAGAGTGCCAGCTATGTAACTACCCCTACGAAACTGTTGAACACCATCTCTTTGAGTGCCCAAAACTCAGTGAGACAAGAAGAACGCTACTCCCTCCGAGACCAGACAAGTGGAACACCTTGTACGGAGGAAAAGAACAGCTCGTGAAAACATGCAAATTCCACTACATGGCATTGGGCCAAAGGGCGAAAGCTCATGCGCCGCTGGATCGATAACAACAACCCTCTACTTCAGATGTTACAGTTACCCTTGCTACCTGAGATGTTAGATATACCCTTTCTACCTCGGCTGTTACATTTACTCGCTGTCTTACTAAATTGTTTCTATTAGCTACTCTACACCAGTTGCTATTTCAGCGACGTATGTGTTGTGTTATTATTTTAATAAACCAGAACCAAAAAGTTATTAGTTAAAAAATAAACTATAACTACCCACTGAAACTGTATGAACTAAAGTAAATGTCAGGGTCTGAAAAAGTCAGACATCATAATCATCAACCCCACCACCACCATAATCATCATCCGCACCACCACCATTATCATCCTCACCACCATAACCACCACCATGATCATCATCCTCACCACTATAACCACCATTATAATCATCATCCCCACCACCACCATTATCATCCTCACCACCATAACCACCACCATAATCATCATCTTTGCACCACCATCACCATAATCATCATTGCCACCACCATAACCACCACCATAATCATCATCCTTGCACCACCATCACCCTAATCATCATTGCCACCACCATCACCACCATAATCATCATTTCCACCATCACCATAACCATCATCCTCACCACCACCATAATCATCATCCTCACCACCACCACCACCACCATTTTCATCCTGTGTTCGAGAGGAGATTATGCTGAAATAACCGTTTGCAACAGTTTGTAACCAAAAGTCTTTCTATAAATACCAGGAGGACACTAAGAGCCATGGCACCGAGGAATACAAAGAAACAGCCAGCCAAGTAACTGAGGTCCAGCTGATTGGCTGAGTTCACTCGATCATTGGTATTACAGAGGCCTCCTTCACCTTTCCACCATTGCCTTCTCCAGCCATCAATGATCCCTGATTCCTGGAGTTTCATGATTCTGTAAAATATAAAGTAATTGTAATTCAGTAGTAGGCACTGTTGCAGATGATACCTTATAATAAGAACAGTATACAAGTACTCTAGCAGATACTGTTCTAGATAGTGTTGCGTAAACAGGAAGTATTTTTAAAAGATACCCTTCTAGATGGTGATGAATTGTAGGATAATATAAAAGTACTTCTTAAGATACCATTCTAGATAGTGTTGTATAGGTAGGATAATATAAAATTATCCACAAGATACCATTCTAGATTTTGTTACTTAGTTTGGATAATATAAAATTATCCACAAGATACCATTCTAGATGGTGTTGCATAGTTAGGAAAATATAAAATTCTCCACAAGATACCATTCTAGATGGTGTTGTATAGTTAGGAAAATATAAAATTCTCCACAAGATACCATTCTAGATGGTGTTGCATAGTAAGATATTATAAATGTACCTATTCAGTAGTTTGCTATTGCGCTTCTGAGCAGTCAGCTCTCAGTCCCACTGTTGAAACCAAGTTGCATAGGTAGGACAATATAAAAGTTCTCCATATGATACCATTCTAAATGGTGTTGCAGAGTTAGGACAATATAACAGGTCTCCAGAAGTTATCATTCTAGATTGTGTTGCATAGTAAGATATTATAAAAGTACCCATTCAGTAGTTTGCTACTGCTTCTGAGCGGTCAGCTCTCAGCCCCACTGTTGAAACAAAGTTGCATAGGTAGGATAATATAAAAGTACTTCAGAAGATACCATTCTAGATGGTGTTGCATAGGTAGGAAAATATTATATTGCTCCAGAAGATATCATTCTAGATGGTGTTGCATAGTTAGGAAAATATAACAGTTCTCCAGAAGTTATCATTCTAGATTGTGTTGCATAGTAAGATATTATAAATGTACCTATTCAGTAGTTTGCTATTGCTTCTGAGCGGTCAGCCCTCAGTCCCACTGTTGAAACAAAGTTGCATAGGTAGGTCAATATGAAAGTTCTCCATATGATACCATTCTAAATGGTGTTGCATAGTTAGGACAATATAACAGGTCTCCAGAAGTTATCATTCTAGATTGTGTTGCATAGTAAGATATTATATTAGTACCCATTGAGTAGTTTGCTACTGCTTCTGAGCGGTCTGCTCTCAGCCCCACTGTTGAAACAAAGTTGCATAGGTAGGACAATATAAAAGTACTTCAGAAGATACCATTCTAGATAGTGTTGCATAGGTAGGATAATAAAAAAGTACTTCTGAAGATACCATTCTAGATGGTGTTGCATAGGTAGGAAAATATTATAGTTCTCCAGAAGATATCATTCTAGATGGTGTTACATAGCAAGATATAAAAGTACCCTACAATGATACTGCTCTAGTTTGTGTTGGAAAATATTAAAGTAGTGAAGAAAATAGCTCGCCTGCAGGTCGTGGGTTTGGGTCCTGACAGTGCTAGACTTTTTGCAGAAATGACCTTGGCCCCTAGGTCAGCACTTTAAATGAGTACCAGATACAGTCCTGGAAAGTAAAGACGGTGGGTGTGATGCTGACCACATCACCCACAGAGTGCCCACTGGTCAATAAAATATTGCTCCAGCCCTATATGCCCAATACTCCTGTAGGCGTGAAAAAGGATCCTTTACCTACTATAGAAGATACCATTCTAGATAGTGTTGCATGGTAGGATATTATAAAAACACTATTTTTTCTTTTTGTTTTTGTATCCAGAAGCCATTAGTTGTTAACCCTTAGGCTCGGTATTATGGATATCGCAACCTTTCGGCCTTGATTCCATTGTAAATACCCTAAATCTGGGAGAAAATGTGGCTTTCCTGCCAAACCCCGGGATTGAACCCAGGCCACAAGGAGTTCGTCACCCGGTCTCTGCGCAATCCGGTTCAGCCAACTACGCTAGAGACTCGGGCAAAAACACTATTAAAAGGATACATTTCTAGATGGCGTTGCGTAGAAGGATAATATTACAGTACTCTAGAAGTTACCGTTCTAGATGGTGAGACATTGTAGGACATTATAAAAGTATTCTAGAAGATGCAGCTCTAGAAATGCCAAACATAGGTTAGATAATACAAGAATACTCGGAGCAAATCTCTAGATCCATGTTTTCTCCGAAAGATAAATGCTTGGAAGGGCTGAACGTAAGACGGCCTGCGTGCCTAATTTTTAACTTTACCTTTACGAATAAAGTTCGTTCGTTCGTTTGTTTTTCAACGTGTAGTCTCCTAGCTGGTACTGGTCTACTTAAATTTCTCAGTCGAAATCAAACGGAGAAATCGATGGATAATACAGCAGTGTTTCATCTCTCAGAAACAACGCTCTAACCATGTTGTCTAACATCTTAATAGCTGCATTAGCTAAAACTGCAAATTTGTGACAGTGGATTTAACAAACAAAATGCTGTCTACATTAGATGCTGCTTCTGTCTTAGCCCTCAGGCGGCCCGCTTAATATTTCTCGTTTTTTTCTCCTGGTCCGCGAGTATATGTAAACACAGGTCCAACTTCATAGCAGACGGTCACCCCATAGTTGTTCCGTTACTGTGCCAATGAAAACCACACAGAATATCCACCACTCTCCCTAAAAGAAAAAATAAATGACACAGACTGCCGTCTCAGCAAAGTCAAAAGCATACACACGCATTAAATGCATAAGACGGCCGTCAGAAAGTACTAACACAAAAGATGAGAGAAAACAAAAATTACTACTAATAAAAACCCTTTTGCCACACTCCATCCCCCAGTATGTTGCAGATACCTAAAGACTGTCCTTGGTGTAGTAAATATCAAATCAGCCGCTTTTCTTCCCAGGATATTACCAGGCATTCAAATCTGGGACGGGGGGGGGGGGGGGGGGGGAGAAGCGAGTCTATATCTTATAAACAAAATCGGCCCAGTTCACGTTTCTCGACCAATTTACACACCGACTGACCTTTCTTTTATACTTTTTCAGACTCTTCCACGTTGATGTGTTGTCACGTTGTCTTGCTTCCAATTACACAAGCGCCGATGTCGCGTAATCAATACTTAACGACGACACAGCTTTCAAAGACCCCAGAACATCTAGAACTGGCCCTAACCCAAACAGCCCTACCCTGAGCCTAGGTCACATGAGAGACTCTTTTCGAAGAAAGCAGTACAACGTGACATCCCTCTGACCTAGATCAGACTGAGAAAGTGTGTAGATGGGCCGGGAAACGTGAACAGATCAACAAAATCTTTATGTAAGTAAGCGGGACTGGAACCGAGAGACCCAAGCACCTTAACCGTCCCCCCTCCCCACCTCCATTTTGTGGGCGGGTGGGTCTGACCACTCACCCATTACAAGAATGTTCCAAGCGTGTTAACTGCCCTCCACCCATAACCATGTAAAGTGCATAGATGTTCTCTTTTGAAGTATTTAAAAAAAAAACATTTCTTACATTATTTAAGACAATGTGCCGATTGGTCTATGAAAATATAGGTCTAGCCCTATATTCCTAACACGCATACAGGTTTGAAAAAGGGACCTTTACTTGTATGTGACTAGACCTTTTCACTAGGATTAAGCCCCCCCCCCCCCCACCCCACACTATTAATTTTTCTAAAAGCCTCCACATGTTTAAGCGTTGTCTAATTGCATAATATTAATAATAATAATAATAATAATAATAATAATAATAATAATAGTAATTGTATTGCATAGTTAAACAAAGATTGTGCGCTTTCCCTGCCATTATATCTTGGGACGGATAGAAGGGATAAGCGAGTTGAGTGGATTCAAATACATTACCACAGTGTCGGAAGGCAAGTGGGTACACGTAACGTTAATCTCCCCCATGTCCCGTTCATATACACACAATAGCTTACTTCTAATTAGGTAGTTCCTGAACCTGTCACCTTGGCATAAGGTATCGGGGGATTTACGCAATGCCGGTAATATCGCGTGTTGTATATTTCAGCACGCTAGCGCTTTTAACACTCCAAGTACATGGAGAAACTGGCCCTAACACAACTCCCATAGAGAGTGCTGCACTCTATGTCACAGGCATTCTTAATCTCGAAATGAAAACACAAATGCAAGACATGGCAGAAAGCAAACAACAGAGCGGGCCACACCCGTAACATTAAAAAAAGTCGACCAGCCCACCAAACTTGTGAACGAAAAGTGGCCTACTCTATTTGGGGAGATTTACGTTACTTTAATCGGCAAGGTGTATTAGAAATAACGCTTTAGTAGCCCATTAGTAGTGACCACTACAATGATAGATAGCAACCTACCTATACCTGAAATCTCAAGAAACCAGAAACAGCCTACAGACCCAGTTATGTAACCAATTATGCAGAAATAAGCTTATAATAATCCCGCTATGTGATCAATAATACTTGCAGAATCATAACTCATGACTCATAACTTGCAGAAAACACTACCAATGCAAGAAGAAACGAAATGCCATGTTCAGCAGACACAGGATAAACATCTCCAATCTCGGCTATTGTATAGCTCCTTGAGATATTTAACAGTGAGTATTGTTTGTGTGCGCGTGTGTGTGTGGGGGGTGGGGGGGGGGGAATCAGGGTTTTACAAGCACAAGTCAACAGACCCTGCTGTTTCGATATAGATTTTGTTGTCAAAGTTTGACAAATTTCAGGTATCGTTTCCAAGCAACAGAATCATTTTCATTTTTGGTTGGATGTTCATCAATAAAGATGCGATGAGTACAGTTTGGTAGAAGAAATAAATATGAAATAGCACGCTTCAAATCACCGACTGCATGTTCTCTATACTCTATCCCATTCTTTCCATGTGCCAGGATAAATAGTTAAAATGAAATCGCGAGTATATTCTAATGCACTTTTATTTATTTTCACGGTGCCACTGTAGACTGGTTCACCCAATTGTGACACTGTATGTCTTTCTTATTCGAACTGTTGCCGTAACAGACAATAACATCGACTATTTTCAGGCAAATATAAGATTTGGGTTTCTGTTTTCATTCACTGTTGACCTACAGCCCTGCCAGCTGCTGTATTATTTATTAACTTCGCAAATTTATTAGAGCATCTTTGTAACCATCTTGGGAGTTCTCTTGCTTGTTTAATCAATATTGGCATGGGACAACATAATATTAAAAACTCCACAGCGGGAGAATGCACAGCTGGAGCTACAAATCATCAATAGGTGGGTCCCTTGTTGACAATCTGTTCAGCCCGTTTATCCTTGTAGACGATTCTCAGAAGGCCAGCCGACCTGTGTCATGACTCCAGGCATCGGAGTTCTCCTCTTGCGCTTTATTGGACAAGACTAAATGGTGGCTTTGTAACGTGTGCTGAGGTTATAGTGTTTATATATATATATAAGAAAAAAAGTAAAGAACGATTTTCCACGCCTTCATGCGTATAGGGCATATAGGGCTAGACCTATATTTTATAGACCAACGGCACAAGATGGGTGATGTGGTCAGCATCACGCCTGCCGCCTCTACTTCCCGGGACTGCACCCAATACCCACTCAAGGCTGGGTCGACCTAGGAGCCAAGGTCATTTTTGAAGAAAAGTCCGGCTCCGCCTGGGAGCGAACTCACGACCTTCGGATCCGCGGCGCGCGTCTAGCCGCTCTGCCACGGGGACTCCCATATATATATATATATATATATATATATATATATGTGTGTGTGTGTGTATATAAATATACATATATATATATATGTATACACACATAAATATTATATTTATACATACATGTGTGTATATATATATAAATACACACACACACACACACACACACACACACACATATATATATATATATATATATATATATATATATATATATATATATATATATATATATATATATATATATATATATATGACAAATGGACGGTTGGTGAACGGAACTGAACTGAACTTCTACCCCACCAGGACATCACACAAGCGATAAACACCCGATGACAAAAAGTGCCACCATGTGGATGAGGATCACCGTGGAGAGGTCCCAGAAACCGCGTTCAGACATTTGGCCATATATATGGCCTGCCTATATTGCGGCCCCTGGCAAGAGCCAGAGTAGGGCTTCAAATGACAAAAAATTTCGTCCTAAAAAGAACGAAATTGGATATGGACGGTTGGTTCATCGGACAGACTTTTATCGGACAGACTTTGGCAGTTGGCAGAGTAATACTGGCAGACGTTGATGGGTCACTTTGAATTTTAGGGATGTAAAGTTCTTTTCCACTAGGAAATTGGACCATTCTACCGAGGTCTATCCCCCATGTTTTTTGTTGCATCCACAGCCAGCTCGAAGCCCTTTTTGCAGCTTCACCCAGTTTTTTTAGTGCCCGTTTATGCACGTTTTCCTGCAGGATCAGCTGCTTTAGTACATTGTATGAGGAGGTGGAGAGTAGACCTCTTTCGCCCACCTCGACGGCGAAGAGATTTACTCCGTATCCTTCATCGCTCCTCAGACTGGCCACCAGACAATTAGCTTCATTCCCGGTAGTGAAAGTTTGACTTAGACTTCAGTGTAGAATATAATGGATTCTTTTGACGGTACCTTTCCGTCTTCCCAGCTGAGAGTGCTCATTTGTGCTATTTGGAGGAATGAGTTCGATTTTTGAGGTTTGAACAACGGATTTCATTAGGACACACGGGTAGTAACCCATAAGAGCTCCGTTCTTCTTCGAACTCAAATCTGAGTCCGAAGAAGCTCAGCACAGTGCACAGTCTCTGTAGCACCAGCGAGGATCCTGAAATACTTTTGGTCAGACTTTTAACTCCAAATTACGTCCAGGCTATTCTCTTTCGATTTTCAACTGCCAAGGGATTTTGTACGTGCCACAATGCACACGGGCGTCCGAACTTACTACCCAGAGACCAAGGGGAATTACTAGAAGTCCAAGTCCACATGAGAAAACCCCAGCCCTTACCAGGGATTGAACCATGAACCTCTAGCACTCGAGGCGAACACCATGCCTGGAGACAACGCAGCCCACTAGAGGAATGAGTATCACAGCCCATGGTGATACAAATTAGGCCCAGGGATACAGTCCCTCCTTTCTATAGCATAGTACAAAACCTCGACGGTTATTGTTGACATAGAGAACATATATTGCCCATGCAGAATGATCCCAATCTAGGTCTACTTTGTTAACTATTAGTGGCACTTCTTTTTAAAACCTTAGAAACAGTCAGGTCAGTCCCATTCTAGCTACTATACTACCGTGGCTGGCGTGTGATACATACTTTACATAAGATGGACGAACCGCAACTTAAAATGCGAGGTGACTAGTTCTTTTCTTTTTTAAACTTAAAGGACCTATAAGGAAATGGCAACAGACTCAACGACATGAAATAAGTTAATTAAGGTTTCTATATTTTAGCTGCAGATAAAAGGTAGAAAAAGAAGAGAAAGAAAAAGTTATATGACCCCCTCCACCACGCTCTCCACCCCCCCCCCGCCCAATACCCACACCCACACACACACACACACAAAAGAAAAATAAACCCCGTGAGATTTATGTAAAAGAAACACATTCATCAGACAATCTCACGTTAAAGGCCTCGGAGATATAGTTTTACATAAGCATCTTTAGAATTCAGTCAGCGAATCCTTTACAGAACGTCGCTCTCTTCACGGCACTCATGAAAGTCTGTCCCATTCTCTAGCCAATTCTTCTCTCATGTGAGTTTTCATAGCCAATGCATCTTTAATGTCCTGTATCCATTCTCGCTGTGGTCGGCCTCTGACTCGTTTTAAAGGAAACCACTCTCTACCATCAGTCTCTCCATACCACCATGGTGCTTGACGTGTCCAAAAGTACTCCAGCGCTCGAGAGAGGATGCTGTTTACTGGGCAGTTCTCCTTGATTTATTGGACAGAAAAAAAAAAGCAACGCAGATGATTTTAAAGAGGCGAGGGCTCGACAACAACATGTCACAAACATCACAAAGAGTTATTTTGTGAGGATGATGACCAGCTGAGAACGAAAGAACTGGAACAGAATTTGACCACTAAAAAGATCTGTAGAAAAAGAGAAAGAGTAAGAAAACGCGAGATGATTCTTGACAGCCTTGTGTCGTTGCATGAAAGGGTGCCAGCACAAGAAATGACACGTGCTGTCGAATATCAGAGACTGTAGGGGGGCATAATGGCCCACTTTAGTCGAAAGGCCCTTGATGATGATGTTAGAAGGTTGATTTTGTGCTATAGACTCATAATGCTGCACTGCCATCATTGTTTGAGAGGGGAACAGTACCATCTGCAAATCTGGTATGGATTAAACTGACGTAGGCGTCATTTGTGGCGGTCCTTTTCGTTATATTATGTCCTAACACACTCACACACACACACACACCACACACATATACTCTCTCTCTCTCTCTCTCTCTCTCTCTCTCTCTCTCTCTCTCTCTCTCTCTCTCTCCAGTATTTCCGCCTTGTAAATTGGGACAAAGAAAACACAGTCAATACACTGCCTAATTTAATGAGAAGTTGCTTTTGAGTGTCATGGATTTTGTATTTCAGTTAGAAGAATTCATTTGTTTGCTAAATTGTATTTACTTGTGACTAATTTGCACCTAGGGGGCTGCGTGGTCTCGAGGCATGGTGTCCGCCCCGAGTGCTAGAGGTTTCAGGTTCAATCCCCGGTAAGGGCTGGGATTTTTTCACATGAAGTTGGACTTATAGTATTTCCTCCTGTCTATGGACAGTTAGATCAGACGCCCGTGTGCATTGATGCACACGTAAAAAATTCCGTGGCCGTAGGAAATCAAAAAGAGTAGCCTAACGGCGCTGCCCAGGCAAAATTTGGAGTTAAAAATCTACACAAAGTATTTCAGAATTCTCCCCGGTGCTACAGAGGCTGTGCACTGTGCTGAGCTTTTTCGGACTAGATTTGAGTAATAAAAAAAAAGAACGGAGCACTTAATGGTTACCACCCCTGTGCCATGATGTTAATCCGTTGTTGAAACTTCAAACTTCAAACTAATATGCACCTGACCAGATACAGCGAAATATGTCAGGCAATAAATTGTAGTCTATTTGTTTGTGTCATGTTTGTTTTAGTACCCAGAAGCCATGAGTTGTTAACCCTTAGGCTCGGTATTATGGATATCGCAACCTTTCGGCCTTGATTCCATTGTAATTACCGTAAATCTTGGCAAAAATGTGGCTTTTCTGCCCACCCCCGGGAGTGAACCCGGACCACAAGGAGTTCGTCACCCGCTCACCGCGCAATCCGGTTTAGCCAGCTACACTAGAGAGCCAGGCGTTTGTGTCATATATGTTCAAATAAAAACTGCGCGATCTTACATGAGGTCCATTGATGTGAGAAAGGCAGCATTTTCTGGTACAACGAATCCCATGCCGCCAGTATTGAAAATGTCGTCTGCCAACATGTAACTTTCACAGTTTTTCTGTTGGATATACTCAAGTTGTGACCTAGATATAACAGAAATGGCATGACGTTTTAGTTACCTAATATCATAGTATTGTCGAACAAAACATATAGTCGTGATCCTACTCAGTTAAGATTAGTAGTTAAAAATAAATGCACGTTTTAAAAAATTTCGAGTTTTTTTGTGTTATTATTTTTAGCTTATCTGTTTAAGCTTCTCATGGGAATCTTGTTATTTACATGTTTTTTTTTTATTTCTTGTTTTCGTTCGTTTGTTTTTCTCCCATCAACCTCCAGATAAAACATATGACCTCATTTAATTTGTTTCCAAGACGTTGTATATAGAACTTCTTTTTTCTTTCCTTCAGAAGGTTACATCTGAGTCGAAGCCGAACAAAATATAAACTGAATTAGGAAAAGAATTGACTGAGAAAGCCAGGACATCGAAAAGAAAGCCTGCGGTGAAAGCTGACAAATAATAGCAGAATATGCTGGACTAGTTTACAATTCTCACTGACCGTGGTTTTCAGTTGAGGAAAAAAAAGTGGGGGGGGGGGGGGAAGGGGTTGGGTGAGGGGAGGGGGTTCTATGAAGGCTCAGGTCGCATGTTATCCACTGATCCATACCACTGGTGTCCACATAAATGCCAACTGGTTAAACCTGATATCTTTCTACTGCAAGGGTGCCTGTCTACTTGGACACAGTTCTGAGTCCTTAATCTTGAACTTTCTGTACGTGTGGCTGAGGAGCCTGAGTCTGTTGCATCCAGTTCGCAGTCTAAATAGATTCCATACATCATTTTGCAAGCAATGCCCCAGAAAATGAGGAATTTTACTTTCAATACACGAGCTACTATCTGCAGACAATCAGTGCCTGTTCAACAGCGAGGGATGTAGACTTCAAGACCATTTGAACAGGCTCAGTTCAAAATGCAAGATATAACACAAAAGTAAATATAACTAAAACTGAAGTAATTCATGTCAGCAGAATTCCCAAGCCACTACATATAGTGTTGAATTTTACTTGTCTATAGCAAGTGAAAGAATTTAATATCTTGAAAGTATATTTTCGGAAGACGGGAGAAGAAATCAGAAAACAGAAACAAGATACCATAGAGCCAGTGCATGTATATACCAACTGACGCCGTTATTAAGACATCCAGACATAATTGTGTCCGCCAAGAAACAGGATATAAACAGGATATTCATGCTAACTCTGTGCTACCGGTGCCAGATATGGACATTTTCAATGGCTAATTAACACCAGTGAAATGAGATGTGTGAGAAAAGCTGTCAGTTTAGCAATCAGAAACTATACTATCGGACAGACTGTGGGAATAATACCACGACCCAAATTTACTGAGAAACAAGTTCAAGTTGTTTGGTAATCTCCTTAGAATGCAGCCATAACATGTACCAACCCAGGCACTACACATGAAAAGATCTGATGTGAAAGCAAGATGTTGATAAAAGGGAAGAAAGAGAAAAGAGTAAAGCATGGGAGTATGAAAAAAGTTAGGAATAGATGAACAAGAGGAATAATAAGTTTTATCACAAACCTGTCTGAAATATAAGCAAAGTTTTTTGTGCGCACCAAAGCTAAGGCCTCCTCACTGCTTGTAATGTTTGGCATAGTGTCCATCATAGACCATATGTTTTTGTATATATTGTTTGTCGCATCCTGTGGGACAAAACACACCATAGGATTTCTTTGTTAGAATTTTAAAGTAGTTGGCAATCAGACAATACGTCATGATCTTCAAACACAGACCTTACAAACCCGAGTGGACCAGTCACAGTTACGCTGTGTTTGGACATGTATACAGTGGATCAGTCACAGTTATGCTGTGTTTGGACATGAAGGCAGTGGATCGGTCTCAGTTATGATATGTTTGGACATGTATGCAGTGGATCAGTCACAGTTATGCTATGTTTAAACTTGTATGCAGTGAATTAGTCACAGTTATTCTGTGTTTAGACATGTATGCAGAAGATCGGTCACAGTTACGCTGTGTTTGGACATGTATGCAGAGGATCGGTCACAATTATGCTATGTTTGGACATGAATGGAGAGGATCGGTCACAGTTATGCTATGTTTGGACATTTATGCAGTGGATCAGTCACAGTTATGCTGTTTGGAGATGTATGCAGAGGATCGGTCACAGTTATGATATGTTTGGACATGTATGCAGTGGATCAGTCACAGTTATGCTATGTTTGGACTTGTATGCAGTGGATTAGTCACAGTTATTCTGTGTTTGGACATGTATGCAGAAGATCGGTCACAGTTACGCTGTGTTTGGACATGTATGCAGAGGATCGGTCACAATTATGCTATGTTTGGACATGTATGCAGAGGATCGGTCACAGTTACACTGGTTTGGACATGTATGCAGAGGATCGGTCAGAGTTATGCTATGTGTGGACATGTATGCAGAGGATCGGTCACAGTTATGCTATGTGTGGACATGTATGGAGAGGATCGGTCACAGTTATGCTATGTTTGGACATGTATGGAGAGGATCGGTCACAGTTATGCTATGTTTGGACATGAATGCAGTGGATCGGTCACAGTTACGCTGTGATTTGACATGTATGCAGAGGATCGATCACAGTTATGCTATGTGTGGACATGTTTGGAGAGGATCGGTCACAGTTATGCTATGTTTGGACATGTATGGAGAGGATCGGTCACAGTTATGCTATGTTTGGACATGTATGCAGTGGGTCAGTAACAGTTATGCTATGTTTGGACATGTATGGAGAGGATCGGTCACAGTTATGCTATGTTTGAACATGAATGCAGTGGATCGGTCACAGTTACGCTGTGATTGGACATGTATGCAGAGGATCGGTCATAGTTATGCTATGTTTGGACATGTATGGAGAGGATCGGTCACAGTTATACTTGTTTGGACATGTATGGAGAGGATCGGTCACAGTTATGCTATGTTTGGACATTTATGCAGTGGATCAGTCACAGTTATGCTATGTTTGGACATGTGTGTAGTGGATCAGTCACAGTTATGCTATTTTTGGACATATATGCCGTAGATCAGCCACAGTTACACTGTATTCGGACATGCTTGTAGGTCGCCAGTTGGCTCGCCGGTAGACTATGTCGTCGCCGGCCGGAACAGTATTTGGGTTCGTTTTATGGCTTTTGGTGGCATGCATGCCAAACTAAGGTTATTTTATGTGGTGCACATAACCTAGTAACAATTATAACCTAAGGCTTCCCATTATGGGATGCTAGTTCAATGTGACGAAGTATTTCCACAGCAAAGCACCTACCTACCTACGGTCACCACATCAGGCAGCGAAGCTGCCAACAGTTCCCGGTTATATTTATGGTCTTTTTTTGCGTCAAGTGTTTGGCTAATATTAGGAATACATTCAAGATTGCTGGTTTTGTGTTCCTAATCACATAGATTGTACGTTCCGTCTAGTCTTTGTCACATTGTGTTCCTGTTGTTCTTAGCTTCCTGATGTGTTGCTAGTGGGTTGTATTCTTCCTGGTTGAGTCTCCTCGATGGTTTTGCCCCTGTGTCCTCTAGGATGGTCCTTGATTTGTTCCGCTCTATTGCTGATCACTATTTTGGCCAGGGGTGTCTCGCAAGAGGCCGATTTGTCGCAACTCTCTTTACTTAAGGTCTTTTCGGTCCAGAATTTTTTTTTTTTTTTAATTCTGATTTTGTTTTTTAAATCTGTAGAAAGTACCGAAAACAGTTTTTGGTTTAGGTAGATAACGTCATACCTTAAAAAGAGCATACATATTTGTTCCGCTTCTGACCACCGGTTTCACTTCTGACTGGCTGGCTAGTTCGGCAAGACTGTTGATTGGCTTATCATAAATAGTGACCGTTAGAACGGCGGCCATGTTGGCAGTGTATGTTGATACGAACACTATGGTGAAAACCCACCAGGATCCAAGCACAAGTCTGCCAGAATTCGACTTCGGTTGCATTTCAGATCCTGTCAGAAAGAGTAGGATTCTCAGTTTAAGAGAGCATGTCTGCAAGAAGAGATTGGTAGATTCATACTCGAGGATACAGAGAAAATACTGGGGTGGGGGGATGGGGGTGGGGGAGGAGAGAAATGAACGTCCCTATGAATTTATAGGGGGGGGGGGAAGGGTTACATTTTTAAGTGTTTAGTAATAATATTCACAACAATTGCTGCTGTTATTACATTACTGTGCAATTAAACATGGCTTAAACACATTGAGTCCCTTTCCCTTAAGGGACCTAAGCCTTGTTTAAATGCTAAATAATAATAATAACAACTATATGCCTTGTTTAAATGTTTAATAATAATAATAATATTAATGATAATAACTATATGCTGAATGTCACGTAGTAGGCCCTATGCTAAACGACGCTCTTATGACAGTCTGTCTAAAAGAAACTCAGTTTCTGGTCAGCTCTCTAGCCTCGTGCACTTCCTACCCAGGATGTGACTGGTGTCCTAAGCATTTTTTTCGTGTCCCTGCCTTTCTTTTCTGGTACCATGACTTCTGCCATTATTCTGTTCAATTCGCCGTGATTATATAGCCATTCATTTACATCGTTATCCCCTCGTGGGATGCAATTGTTCGTTATTTTGAAGCCACACCCTGGCTCTTGCCAGGGACCGCAATATATCCGGGCTTTAAATATGGCCTAACGGCTGAACGCGGTATTTGGGACCTCTTCACGGGTGATCCTTATCCGCATTGTAGCACTTTGTGTCATCGGGTGTTTATCGCTGTGTGATGGCCTGGTGGAGTAAAATCTACTACTACTACTAATTCGCCGTGACAGCTTATAGTATCGTCCCCTTGTGGGATGCAATATTTGGTTATTTTGAAGCCACACCCTGATGGTTGCCGGGGGCCCTAATATAACCTAACGGTTGAACGGGTTTTCCGGGACCTCCCCAAGGGTAATCCTCATCCACGTGGTTGCACTTTGTATCACCGGGTGTTTATCGCTCTGTGTGATGTCCTGGTGGGGTAAAACTTACTTATTTACTAATCCGCCGTGACATTTGATGTGGTCAAAGTTTACCAAATAGCAAATACAAATAAGACATTTGAAATAATATGAAATGTGCATAAACCTAAACAATTGCCTAAAAAGAGAGCCTGTATATATGGTGGGCAGGTTGGGGGCGGGGTGGGGTGGGGGTGAGCCATTTTAAAAGATATACGGGGACCCACAGGTGGAGCTGATCATCCAGGTTCTAATGCCTATAATTAGGCCCGAACAGATTTCCCATTCTTTCATCTTGTTACCCTGACATAAAACCAGATTACGACCGGTACCATTAGTATTAGAACTCTGCGCTGGCTGCTGAAGATGAGGACTGAGCACGAAGGGAATGCCTCGAGTGCTGTGATGTCAACTCTTGACTCAACTCAACTAACAGGTGAAACTAACAAACGCATGATGAGTTTCTTGGTGGTAAATGAGATAATTTCTTTATGTGAATGGTTATCTAGGCCAGTGTTTCTGAACCTTTTTACATTCGCTGCCCACCAAAGCCGTTGTAACTGTTTCATGGCCCACCCAACAGTTTATCAAACATGAAGCAATAACAACAGTCTTTTCGTTGAATCTTATGTCATAAAATTAACATTTTCAGCTTATTCGACATCTGCTACTGCTTAGAAGTTAAAAAAAAAATTATATATGTGACTGAAGTGTTGTTTCTGATACACGCAGCACTGCAACGAAACTCACTGGATTACTCTTTTATTTCTTTTATTAACTATAATTTTTATTTTTATTTTTCACACAAAGAGAAAGTCACTGAGATGTCAGTCCTGCAGACAGGAATTCAAACACTGCATTTGTCTACCTCTTTACACGATTAATTAGAATCAGAACTGATTGGTGACCCACATTGGTCCAGGGATGGAACCGCAGAGCATCATGTTCATGATAACACAAGTCACAATAGTTTGACGTCTTACTTGAAAGTGTAAAACTACATTTAGGACGATAAGGGATTTCTGTGACTTAGATCATCATCATAACCATCAAGTTTCACGCTGATTGGCATAGGCGACCATGCCTGTCCCTAATCAGCGATCCGCAACTGTGTGTACCACTTCGTGAGCTGACCCCCCTCCATGTCATGACAAAAGGCTGTCAAGAACCTTTTCGCGATGTCCTCCTCTGAATGTCTTTCAACAGATTTTTCCAGTGGTCACAACAAGTTCCAGTTTCTTTCTTCTAATAACATGACCAAACAATGATGACTGTCTCTTTCTGATGTTTGATAATTTGTCTTCGAGCACTCGCCTCTTTAAAAAAATCAATCTGGGTTGCTCTTCTTAGCTGTTGAAGGAATTCTAAGGATTTTTCTATAAATTCACATCCCGAGGCCTCAAGATATGTATCTTAGATACACGTGATAAATCCAGTACCTTGATTAAGTGTGGAGCCAAGTATCGCCCAGAAACAGCTGAAGAAGGACAGACCTTCCCGTCTTGTAAAAGGACTTTGCCGGTTGATTACGTAGAGGATTAAAGAAACACCGATGATTGACCCTCCAAGACAAACCCACACAACAGGCTGTAGATAAATTAGTGACGTTTGTTAGATGTATATACATTCTTTTTTGTTGTCTCCACCCATGTTAACTTTATGTGCTAACTTGGAGGCATGGAATGGCCAAGGAACATTCTGCCTCCAAGAGATTTTGAACGAATGACCACCAGGTGTGCATGTGATTTCTCTAGCGATTACGCTACAACTGTTATCAATTAATAATCATCGTTTAATGCCAACACGATCGGCATGGGCGATCACGTCTCTCGATAACTTACGATTTAAAACAGTATGTACTGAAGCCTGCCATAACATAACAAATGACTGTCAAAGCTTCTGGCGTTGTCCGCCGGTATATTTCTTTCGGCACTTCTTTTCAGTTACCCCATGTTCCAGTTTCTCTCTTGTCATAAAGTGGCCCATAAATAAGGAATGCACCTTTCTGATATCTAGAACAAGCTGGCTTTGGGTTCTCCCATTTTTAAAAAACGTATGAATTACTCACTTTTACTTTCCAAGGAATTTTTAATATTGAAATAAAAGAAATAGCATCTAAATCTTAGGTTGTTTAAAAGTAGGTTAAAAAAGTAAAGGAGACTTCTATTCCATAGGCTCTTCATATCCACAGTGAATGTTGGCTGTAATGGATTTCCAACACACTCTGGCTCTTCTCTCTCAGATTTCTGTTCGTCCATTGCTTGATGTTTTCTTCCCACTTCTATCGTTGTCTATATCTTGCTCTCTTGCCTTCGACTTTTTGCCACTGTATTGTGTCGGCTAGCACTCGCCCGAATGTCTGTCATGCGAAACTATAAAATGTAAACTCTGATGAAATGTCCTGGTTCGTAAAATTCGCCGTGTTACTGGACGCTCACTAAGCGTGACATCCCCACAACATAGGACAAGCCCTGCGACTCCAGCAGGGATGAATGGCAAGGGAGGTCACTCTCTTTCTGGGCCCGACTTCCTGATTTGTACCCCAAATAGGCATATTCAGCTCAAGTGAGCAGTTCGCCTCCTCTGCATCTTTTCTTCATAAATAATAACAGACAGTTCTAATTCTCCATTAACTATGAAAATGTTTACACCCAAGAATAGTCATAAAACTTTTGGTGCATATACTTTACAGGACGTGCAGAAAAATTCCCAACATATTTTGGCTATTGTAGTTTTTCTAGGCAAATTTGCGTTTAGGATTTTGCCACTGCTGAATGAATGGTCGGCTTTCGATACCAGTGTCGAAATCAACATAATGCGGTCTGCTGTCCAGTCGCCTGCAGCTGAGATCAAACGCTATGTACATTGAAAACTTAAATCCTAGAATAAGAGCGATGAAGCCCAGAAGTTAACAAAAAACCAGGACATTTCACCAGAGTTTACATTTTCTGAACACGAACAGAAGAAGAAAAAGGAGGAGGAGGAGGAGGAGAAGAAGAAGAAGAAGAAGAAGCATACTAACTACTGTACCCCTACTGGCCCTGTCCCTAAAACATCATCATCATCAGGTAGCAGTTCCTTTGCAGAATGCGCTTTCATAAAAAAAAAAAAAAAAAAAAAACTTGATCTCTCGCTAGTTCTCCCTCTCGAGCACTTTCATATTTAAGGAGTCAGTTATATCCTGTGCCTAACTTCGTTTTGGTCGGCCCCTGGCCTTCCTTCTTAGTACCAGGCCTTCTGCTATTATTTTTTCTAATCTACAATGGCGTTTGATATAAACAAAATATTTCAGCTTTCGTTACAAGATGCTATTTATTAGCCAATGTTCTGTGATGTTCAGATCTTTCAAAATGTTAGCATTTCTTATCTTCTTTGACCACGGTATTCTGAGAATCTTTCTCTCTTTTTTAAGTACTGAGTCCACGACACACATCCGTATGTTGCTAGAGACGACGCAAGCTCTCACAATTTCCTTGCTGGGGCGTAGCTGTAGACTTGAAATGCTCCCCAAACGACACAGATAAAATGATAATACTCTAGACAGTGCACAGACAAACCTGTAAGGGCGTGAAGAGACGAAACATGGCCTGCGAATCCTGTTTATTTCTCTTGGTCAGGATGCCGACTCCATCTTCTGTATAGGGTATCGTGAAATCTATGACGTCTTCTCTCTGTGTTGTGATAGACAGCGGACCGATACCAAACTCAACCTCCTGCAGAGAGCATGAAAAAAAAAAAAAAATGACTTTTCATGCCTTAGACGCATCGGGAATATGGAAAGAGCGTCCCATATTTTTACAGACCAATCGGCACTGGGTGGGCAATGTGGTCAGCATTACACCGGCCGTCTTTACTTCCCCAGAACAGCCATCCTGGTACCCATTTTAGGCTGGGTGGACCTGCGACGCCCCATACCATGAAAAAAATCCACACCAGACAGCATAAACGGTGACTATTATATTTCAAAGATTTATTGAAATAATTTACAAGGAAAATTGCTTATTTCTTTCATTAAGAAACAATTGACAGTTTGAAAAGAAGAAAAACTTCAGTATTTCTTTAAAAAAAAAAAAAAGAAGATAGTCGGGCGGGGAGGAAACATGGAAGGGGCGAGGGGGGGGGGGGTGTGGGGGGTCCCAGGGATCGGGTGTGGGTGGGGCAAAAAGCAAGAAGATGTTGAACTGTATTTTATCATGACATTTAAGAAAAAGTGTACCAAATACTATTTGCACTACACATGACAGAGATTGAGCCACCGTGGCGTAGTAGCTACTCTTGAATGCAGACCCGAAGATTTTGGGTCGACTCCACACTGGATAACAAAAAACAGAAAAAAAAAAAAATGGGCTCTGGCCCTCTGGAGGTAAAGGCGGACAATTACCCCAAACAGTGTTCTGATCAGTGGAGTTGACACAAATAAAACGCTGGCGGTGGTGGTTGGGGGGGGGGGGGCTGATATAGCTATCAGGTGCTTATTGGTCGATTATTAATATGTGAGTCTACCATATTTCTGATGTTCAAAAGAAACCCGTGGACTGTGAGTTGTTTAAGAAGACGTGCAAAGAGTATTGTAGCAAGAAAATATGCCTTCATGGTTATCGATGAAAACTCATAGACAACACCATGTGTGCAGGCAGTTGCATAAAGTAAAAAAGTAAAGGACCCTTTTCCACGCCTTCAAGCGTATAGGGCATATAGGGCTAGACCTTTATTTTATAGACCAATCGGCACAGAATGGGTGATGTGGTCAGCATCACAAGCATTACAAGTTTTCAGTGGGGAGAGGCTTTAGGGACCTAGGTCCCTATGTTCCGGCGCCTCTGAACATGTCGGTATATTGTACATCAGCGGGTCTCAACCTGCCGGTCGCGCCTTTTTTGTGTGTGTGGGTCGATCGACACTTTCACAAGGGTCACCTAAGACCATCGGAAAACAGATATTCATTGAAGTTATGAAAGAAAATGATTGTTTGGGGGTCGCCACAATATGAGGGAACTGTATTAAAGGGTCGCGGCATTAGAAAGGTTGAGAGCCACTGTTGGAAAGAGATAATCGTAAATTGTCTCAGTATTACAAACAAAACGTCAAGGGATGTCATTAGTCTACATTGACAATGATTGCTTACACCTCTCAGTACCATCCCTACAACACCGGTCCAAGACCCATTGCCATCTTTAGCTCCAGCCATTTTGTCAGGTGCTTCGATAATTTCATACCTGCAACAGAGATGCAAATTCAGATTTTATTTCATTTCTCATCATCATCAGTATTAACATTCTCCTAATCCTCGTCATAATCCTTATCATTAACATCCTCCTTATCATCCTCACCATCATCATGTTGTACCGGTATACTTCACAGAGGGTTCGCTGTATAATCCTTGATTCCGTTCTGTCTGTTAATCTTTCAGTTTGTCCGCTAGGTTTATTATACCATCCTGAAATTTAAACAAAACTTAGTCTGGACGGTAGATCAACAATATAGATCCCTGATGTCCCGCGGAACCCCCAAAGAAGTTATAATTAGAGCACACGTTATGGTTACAGCAGCCTAATGTAACCTACAGTCTCAAGCAGTCTCTCCACAACATGTGTCGTATGCGCTCCCTTGGACGTCCTCGTGTTCAAAGCCTTGTTTGCTGATATCACCTTGGTGTAATGTCTTGGTGAGATTAACGTCAGTCATTCAGTCAGCCAAGCCACTATGATTTCAGTCGCACCATTGTCACATATCACTCCTGTCACGTGCCTGATTTAAGGATTTCTCCTTAAGAACCAACAGCACTCAGAAATAATTATGTTGAGTCGTTTATCTCGTATTGGTCTAAGGGATTCCCCGTGGCCAATATACGCTCAACTTATTTCTGGAGTAGGGCAACTCAAGTAGTGGCACTACAAAATATATCAGTATATGAATACAATATTCCTAGGCACACTTGGCTGGACACCCCCACTACTTACTAAAGAAAGCCCCCAGGTTATGATTGTTCATTATCATAACCATGTTAACATATATAATCTTTGTGAGTCATACACACACAAATGCTAAACACTTAAAAAGGTGAAATAGAGACACCTAAGTCAGCCATGAAAATGAATGCATGTAATCAATACAACATGTACATATATATATAGTAGTGAAGTAGATGCCAAATTTCAGTAGATGGATCCCAGAATACATTGACCAGACCTAACAGAATTCCAACCAGTCAGAAAGTCCTGGAGGTAGCACCTCTTCATCATCGGAATACATTGGAGCTGTGGGAAATATAGCAAAACATGGAATCAAACTGGCACTTATCCTCTTTCTATCGTTGATGCTTCCCTCAGCTCCGATGCTTCGACTGTCTTTGAATCTGGTAATTCTGCTTCAAATGGATCAGGTAGTGGAAGAGTACCTCACCATAGAGGAGCCAGCGACTGTACCGGTACTCAGCAAGTCTCTCCCACCAGTTAGGTCACATCACTGTCTCTGAGCTACACCAAGCTCCTGCACTGTTAGGCTGTTTGGGGTATATGGCACCCCATAGTGATGATGTCAGGAACTTCACAAGTGGCAGCTGGTGGGTAGTTGGGTGATAGGTTGGTTGGTAATTGGTTGATTGATTGATGGTTAATTGGTTGATTGATTGATGGTTGGTGGGTGTTGGTTGGACTGTGATTTTTCTGCCAGCTCTTCACAAAGGTTTCATCCCAAGCATAGGAAAAGTCCTCGACACTACAGGCCGCCTTCTGAAAGTGAAATTTGCTGGCGTCGATGCGTACATCTGAACGCTAGGAAAGCCGGCAGAAACAATGCCGCAAAAATTCAAGTCAGGCGTCGGTAAGAAGAAGTTCCTTGTATACATGAGCAAGGAGTAAACCGATTTCTAAGAATAGTTAAATAACTCCATCAATATTTATCAAATAGTTGTACATTTGAAAATGACGCTAGGTCAAAGCAACTAGATGATGTAGGTATCATAATTTTCTCCGATCAAGGCATAAATCGATATAAGGGACTATATACCTTTCCGGACGAGTCCAAGTTTGAAAGTTTTGTCGAGCATAGGTAATACAGGTCTCGACTCTTTTAGGGGTGATGTGTAATGGCCGGTCATTACTTGACAACCATAATTCTACAAAACATTCTTATTTCTAGAGTTCAGTAGCACTGGAGTTGTATTACTTGTGAACATCAATGCCCCTTCACCTCACACTCCACAATCTTCTCCGAGCACTAGAGTTCAACAGCACGGGAGTACTGATACAGGGCACACTAGCCGTGCCTTCGCCACCCACTTAGATTTCTTCCATGGCATGGAAGTTCTTATACTCGTGCACATCCCCCACCTCCCCAACAACTCTCACCAGGCACTGAGTACCGGTTCGTGCCACTTGGTTTGGTGCAGTTATCACTTCTTAGCCAACATAACTGGCACACAAAAAACATACCACAGTTATAGCCGAACTGTTCGCAGTAGGTTGAACGTGGTAGACTTTTTTTTCTCCATCAACAGATGGATTTATAATTAAACGAAGGTGAAAGCACCCTATAGCATATGCAGTAGTTCTGCTGAAAAGTGAAGCAAAATATCATTCTGGACGGCAGACCAACAAGGCAAATCCCAGATACCCCTTTGAAAAAATCGTCAAAAACAACCAGCTCCTTCAGAAAAAAGAACTGTGGGTTATAATTGTGACTGTGTTTCTTGTCCCAACTGTTGTTGACTAAAATTGGGTTAGTGTGCCATATTAAATGACTTAGTGTCCCTGTCTACTCTCAGATAGAGGAAACCATACAGCCCATAACTGGAACAACGAGATCTATAACCACCTATATAGATCGTTACATAGATCATATAACCACCAACTGGAAAGAGAAGACCAACCAGAGAGATGAATGGAGATGGATGATATCTGCGGCAATGAACTTCAAGGATTCGGAATGCTGAAGAAGAAGAAGAAGAAGAAGAAGAAGAAGAAGAAGAAGAAGAAGAAGAAGAAGAAGAAGAAGAAGAAGAAGAAGAAGAAGAAGAAGAAGAAGAAGAAGAAGAAGAAGAAGAAGAAAAAGAAGAAGTGTCCCTGTCTGCATCTATGTGTCTTTTCCTGCACGTCTAGGTCTGGGTCTTGGTCCTGTTATGGGTTTTATGTATTTTTTTTCTATGTGAGAATACCACGTTGCACAACGCAAAGAAGTTATGATAAGGGCACACACAGTCTAGACATTTCCTTGTTCGAAAAGTTTACCAGGTTTGATCGACCAAAGAGCTGTAATTGCAGGAAAAATCTGCACCTTCTGAGGATTCAGCCTGGACCACTGTCTCGTCAGGCAAGCGTATTTCTTAAAATGCCACCGTGGTTTCTCTGATTTCAGTGTTTGGATTGACTTTCGTTTATATTTTTATGAACATGCGTAAATTCTAAGCCAACGACAATCCATACCTGCAGATGAGAGCAGGGTATATACTCCACTGGCAAGACATCAACGTGGCTGCTTTGGGAAACGTCAGTTAAGTGATTTAGTGTTATTCGTGGGGTTTTGTTTGATTTATGTACGTGCGGATGAAGGCTCAAAAGCGTTCAGGTTTCGTTTGAGTTTGCTATAATGTGAAGCTCGCTGATCTACTTTTCGTTTTATTACAGAGTATACTGAACAATACTTTGTAATGCCATTGGGGATTCCTTAGTTATAATGTCTTTATAGGTTGAACTGGGTATTTTGGATTTGTCCATCTGGTTTGCCACTCAGGGTGAGATCTTTTAGTCTCGGGATCGGTCGAATCATCAGGTAAGAGTCTGGAAGGAAAAAGGAAACAGATTCCTTCTGGCAAACATAACTGATACGCTTACGTGAAATTGAGTTTGTTGGCGAGTTCCCGTAAAATGTTAATGCAGAATCCCTCAAATTCAGTTCTATTTTCCGTCTTTCTTTTAATCACAAACGGTGCTGCCTGTTGGGGAAAAAAAAAAACTAGTCAAAACAATATTTGTGTACTGAAAAATAATACAAAAGCCTGAGAACAAGTATTCAATAAAAATTACACTAAAAAAAGGGGAGTTGAGTGGTCTCGAGGTATGGTGTCCGTCTCGAGTGCTGGTCCCGTGTTCAAACCACAGTGGGAAAACTGGGATTTTGCCACGTGGACTTCTAGTTATTTCTCCTGGTCTCTGGGTAGAAAGACCGGACGCCCGGGTAACTTCTTGCGCACGTAAAAATCCCTTGCCAGTTGAAAATTAAAAAGAGTAACCTAAAGGCGCTACCCGAGCAAAATTTGAAGTTAAAAATCTACCCAAAATATTTCGGGATTCTCCCTGGTGTCGGAACTCGTGCACTGCGCTGAGATTTTTCAGACTCAGGCTTGAACTAGAAGAAGAACGGAGCACTAATGGGTTTACACCCGTGTGCCATGATGTTGGTCCGTTGACTGAACGACCTAAGTACACACAGAAAACTGTTCATGGTAAAGACTCATCTTCTTCCTTTTCTGTGCGGGTTCCGGGGCTAAATTGTGAGGGAAAAAAAGAACAAACTCACTTCCCATTAACAAGCGTGACGTAAGTGTCGACTAATTAGGGATGTTTCTAATTGAGGATGTTTTCTTCGAAGTCGGCGTGCATCTGCTTGAGAGGCGAGTAACAAACAGTCTGCATACAAATAGAACAGATGTGTAAAATGGATGTGCACTCAAAAACTCAGGTTCTGAACAAAACTAAAGTTCAAAAATGGACGAACAGCCAGAAACTTTCCGCCGGAGTTAACCGGTGAACGCGAAGGAGAAGGTCATCATCCTCGCCTTCGTCTTCCCATTCATTATCATCATCAGTCAATCAGTCCATCATAATCAGTCAATCAGTCCATCATCATCAGTCAATCAGTCCATCATCATCAGTCAATAAGTCCACCATCATCAGTCATCAGTCAGTGTATGATGTTGCCATTCCAGATTCTTATCCTCCAGATTCTTGTCCTTGTCTTCGACTCCCTCTCTCTCTCTCTCTCTCTCCCCCCCCCCACTTCAACGTAACTTAAAGTACAGTCTTTACAATCAAATTATGTCTCACCACGTGCCCGAAGCAAGCTAGCTTGCGACGCTTCAACACTGCCAAGAGGAGCTCCTGATGTCCTTCAAATTTGTCTAGTGTGCCACTGACATATTTGTTAGTTTTATGCTCTAAATAACTAATTCGTAAAATTCGACTTTAGCATTTACATTCGAAAGCCTGAATCCTCCTTTCATTGACCACGTGAGAGTCCAACCCTCACCTTTATAAAAGAAAATGGACAATACCAGCCATCATACATTTCAGTGAGCAAATAAAGGGTTTGCTTGCTGGCGCCCATCTCCGTGATGATCTATTTGTGCATCCTCACTGTTTAAACGCTTCCAAAGGACCTTTGTAACACCTGATAGCGCCGAATCAGTCTATCTGACTGTTCGTTTCCCAAAACACCGACATGACCTAGAGAAAATAACAGAAGAACACCAATTACCCGGGACCTTTGAAGCGATGCTACTCTGCACGGAACAGTCTCCTCCATGAGAGGAAAGCAACAGATTTATAGTTATGGAAGCGTACAATGAAAGCGACTGTCTACAGACGAATGAAATCAAAAGAGGCTAAGCCATCATCAAGATATTTTACCTCTATACTGCCAACTAACAGCTTTCTGCCTCCAAAGTCCTTGAAAGCGTTGTTAAACACCCTTTCCTGCGACCTGATCCCGCTGTAGGGCGACCACGACCCTACCACAACATGACCCTCTGTCACCGTGTCATCGCTGCTGCAAAACTCATAGCCATATGTAGACACTTTTCCATTAGTTGGCCCGAAGACAACATCTCCCCGCTCTGTGACTACCTTTTGCTGAAAGGAAAGCAAACATTGATTGCTTCAGTCAGTTAATCGTAGTTTTAAAACCACAGCATGGGGAGCACTACATAGCTGCTCCGTTCCTGCGCCAGCCAAAACCCCATAGAATACTCATCATAACAAAATATTACGCACTGTAGTCTCAGCAGAACCAAAAGCATGCACAAGTATTAAATACATAAGGCAGTTGTCAGAAATGTCAACATAAAAAAGTTCGGCAGTAGAAATGCAGTTCATCGTCGACCGAAGCATCAGTTTAGAAATAACAAAACAATCAGCAGTTGTGAACGTAAGTGATCGTTCTCTTAAACAGGCCACATGTTATTTCCTGAATCTGCATTTCACAACAGAAACCACGCTGAGTACAGTTGACGAGCATTCTAAATAAACGCCGCAGCTAACAGTGTCACGCTATGCACTCAACTCAGTAGCTGGGAGACGGAACTATCAACATTCCATCTACATATGAAGGAGAATGAAACGGCTAACAATTGTCTAATGCAAAAACTTAGGTTTAGGTTTAGGTTTAGACGACGGATCAACATCATGGTACAAGGGTAGTAACCCATAAGTGCTCCATTTTGCTCTAGCCTGAGTATGAAGAATCTCAACGCAGTGAACGAACTCCGTAGCACCGGCGAGGATTCTAAAATACTTTGGGTAGATTTGTAACTCGAAATTTTGCCTCTGCAGTGCCAATATGCTAATCTTTTTCGATTTCCAACCGCCAAAGGATTTATTTTACGTGAGCAACAATACACACGGGCGTCCGACCAAATAGACTGGACAATCTTGTTTTGTTTTGGAATACTGATCATACGACCTTTACTATCGCTGGGGTCTAAGTGGTAATCCTTTATATACGACCCTGAAAACATTGGTTTACTTAAAAAAAAAAGTGGTTATCCTTTATATACCACTCTGAAAACATTATTTGCTTAAAAAAAATTAGTCATTCATTTCACCAGTGACATTTTAAAAAAAATCCCTCGGGATCGTCACCAAAGCTACAAAGTGCATGCTTTGCTCAGGAAAGGGCTAGTCTTTTTGCAGATGAATAAAATTTAATGTTATGAAATCAACCCTGTTGACTTCGAACTTTTAAACTTTATAATGTCGATAGGAGGCGATATGTTTGCTCTGCGCAAGCTCTAGGCCACTGTGGTTTGGAGTAGTTTCCTCCTTCCTTACTGTCTTTGCTTCTCAAACAATTTCCAACAAAACTGAAATTATCAGGCACCGCTTTTCTAAGACTGAGCGAACCCTAGATCCGCATTTGTCAAAGAAATCCGGGAAAAATTAGTAATCCAATTGGTGCAGGGGCACAAGAACTTTGGGGCTTGCAGACCGTTACTCTCATTACTGACTGCCTGAAAGAAACTCCGTCTCTCGCCAGCTCTCCTGCCTCGTGTACTTTCATATTCAAAGAGTTACTTATATTCTGTGCCCATCTTCGTGTTGGTCGGCCACCGCCCCTCCTTCCTGATACTATGCCTTCTGCTATAATTTTTTTCTTCAAATTCGCCCTAGAAAAACTTACAGAGCTAACCATCCCCGATCCCCTTTTACCCCAAATAATCATGCACATAAATTCCGTTTAAAAGTTTGTTTTTATACATTTCATATTATTTTACACACATTTTTGTATTTGTTTCCTGTTCACATTCTTATTATTTACTTCTATTATTGTGTTGGAAACAAATAAAGCTAATCAATATAATGAGGGTTATCTTCATATAACGGTAACTACCAGATTCCAACATAGCCATGTTTTCCCGTTGTAAATTTGAATTAAGAAGACACAAACAATAGACCGCACAATTTATTGCCTGGCATATTTCGCTTTATCTATGCAATTGTCACTGTAGTATGCCACTGGTGAGATACAGCAAAATAAACCAGGTAATAAATTGTGCAAAGTCGGAGGCAACCAGCCAAGAGGCGCACCACAGCAATCAGGATGCCACGCATACACGCCATGGAAATATACTCAATAAAGTATACAAGCAGAGCATACTTCCACACTTGGAATATGGGTCAACTGCATGGTGTTCAGCATCTAGTACCACATTAAAGGAGTTAGAAAAAGTGCAAAATCAAGCGCTTAGAGTCATCACAGGAGGGATGAAATCAACCCCCATATTAGAAATGGAGAAAGCTGGGAAAACACAGGCACTGGGAGAACGCAGAGATAAAAAGTTGCAAATCAAGCTGAAAAGTTCCTCAGTATGCCAGATCACCCGATGGAAAATAGATTTAAGAACCTAGCCTTGGGACGGTTAAAAAGAAGCAGCTTTATACACCAAGCAAAAAGAATATGTAGACAAACTCCTGACCTTCCAGAAATTAGTTGCCCTCTTAAAAGTATTCGGGAACAAACCCCATGGAGAGAAAAATGTAAACTAACGGTACAAATCCAGACAAATGTGAAAGGGATATTTGACAAGAAAGAGCAGGATAGTGTACAACGCAGAATGGCCACCCTCAGTTATACTGATGAAGAATACCCACAAGAACAATGGGTCAGAGTCTATACAGATGGCTCCTCAGAAAGTGCAGTTAGAAATGGTGGCGCTGGAGTGTACATCGAATTCCCAGATGGTACTAGGGATAAGTCCAGCGTACCAACCGGGAAGTATTGCCATAACTACGATGCAGAAACCCAGGCTATCAAGATAGCTACAGAGAAACTGCTAAATACCAACCTTGGCTCATAGTATGTGGTAATGCTGACAGATTCTAAATCAGTACTTGAAGCACTCCAGTCTAGGAAACTACCAGAATTGCAAACACTGCTAACACAACTCAGCGTTCAGCGAAGAGTCGTAATGCAGTGGATACCGTCTCATTGTGGAGTGCCTGGAGTACAGAAAGCTGATCAACTGGCAGAGGAAGGTGCGACAAAAGAGCAGCCGGATGTACCAGTCACATACCACCAAAAGAAAAGAATAATTAAATCGATCAGGAAACCACCAGCCCCAGCACAAGACGACTATTTTATTATGGACAGACCAGAACAAGTCATTATCCTCCGCCTCAGAACAGGGCACAACCGATTACGTAACCACATGTACACAAAATTCAAGATAGGTGTATCAGCCATGTGCATCTGTGGAAATGTGCCCCAGACAGCAGAGCATGTACTCCAGGACTGCACCGATTTTGACACATTTAGGCAAACCTTTTGGCCAGAAAGAACAACAGTGGAACGTAAACTCTATGGACCACTGAATGAACTAACAACGATAGTGAAATTTATACAAGAGACAAAACTGCTGATATAGACAACTTATTTCAGGCCAACGAAAGAAGAAGAAAAAGAAGAATTGTGCAATCTATTGTTTGTGTCTTTTTCATTCTAACTTGAGGTTTGAGGTTTTGAACATCGGATCAGCACCATGACACTCGGATAGTAACCCATTAATACTCCGTTCTACTTCTAACTCAAGTCAGAGTCCAAAGAAGCTCCGCACAATGTACAGGCTCTGTAGCACCGGCGAGGATCCTGGAATAACTTGGGTAGATTGTTAACTTCAAATTTTGCCCGAGCAGCGCCGTTAGGCTACACTTTTCGATTTCCAACTGCACACGGGCGTCCGATCTCACTACCCAGAGACCAGGAAGAATTACTAGAAGTCCAAGTCCACGTGAAAAAATCTCACTCGAGGCGGACATTATGCGTCGAGACTATGCAGTACCCCTTTATTTCTAACTGAAACATATATATTACTTCAGCTCTTTGAGGCAACAAATGTATGTAGCACATAAGGTTTGCGATTAGTTACATGCACTACATCGGTTGGCAGCAATGCAATCATTTTCACTAGGTTCTCCTCCTAAACGATCTTGATGAGATCAACGTTTTGCAAACTGTTCTCGACCTCTGCTTACAAAATGAAATCAGTTCTGCGGGCTTGTGATTCTCTATCTGCTCCTTTGAAGGAACCATTCTTGCTGTGACCATAGTTCTCCAAAAACATTTTTCTCGCCAACACATTTGTTTCAGGGTCCTGAAGTGGAAAAGTGGGGGGGGGGGGGGGGAAGACAAAGACCTGCAGCTACTTAACATAAATGTCGTTAATAGCGACTATTTAGACGGTCTGCTGAAATTGGATGTGTTGGGACGAAAGCCTAGCTGTAACCATAACACAGCATTGTTACCGTCCTTTTAAAGGCAAAGGTGGAAACAAATAGTCGAAGCAAAAGAAAAAGTTTTGCTTGTTTCGACAGTGGTACTAAGAACTGACCGTTTAAAAACAAAACAAAGACAAACTATTGAAGGTGAAATTCGTCTAGAAAAACTAGAACAGCCAAAGAATGCCGAGGTTGCTTCTGTAACGTCCTGTAAGGTTGCGAAACTAACTTCGACACGAAACGATACAAACAAAATGTAAGAGAAAAAAATAAACACACATGCTAAAACAAGTAAATACATTAGAAATAAATAATAAATAAATAACAATTGGAGGTTAGTACGACGTTAGTCTCCCCAAACAGAACAGGTCACATTTCATTCACAAGTTTGTTGGGCAGGTCGACTTTCCTGAAGGTTACAGATATTTCCCGCTTTGTTGTTTGGTTTCTGCGATGTCTTGCATTTACGTTTGTTTTTCCGAGAAAGAAAATGCCTATGCACAGGTTGCAGCCTCCTTTAGGGATTATGTGTTAGACCCAGTTTTTCCATGTTTTTGGAGTGTTAAAAGCGCTGGCGAGCTGATATATACAACACGCGAAATCAATGTCATTGCGGAACACCCCCGTAACCGTGTGCGAAGTTCACGTAGCTAAGGAACTACCAATCAGAAGTGAGCTAGTATTATATGGGTAGGGTCGGGGAGACTAACGTCAAACTAACCCAATTGGAAATGGCTTAAAAGCTAACACATTCCTGCTGTAAGCATAAGATATTATTAAACAGACTCAGTTATAACTATAAATTATAGTTACCTTTCTTGCTTGGCTAATAGCTTTCTTTCTTAAACCAACCAGGTGACTGTCACATATTGAATTGCTTCTATAGATGCCTGAATAGAGGTCTGCAGCCACAGAACCTTTGATGAAAGCCTCAATGCCAGCTAACAACAGAGCAGCTTGTTCCTAGGTAAGATCAAAGATGTTGTTTGTAGACATTACTGTTTGCACAAACATAAATGGGATAATAAAGCTTACAAAGACCGTAATGGGCGAAATAAACACATTAGATTGTTATTTTGTTATTGCAAACACAGTTCTTGTATCCAATGTAGCATAAACAACAAGTAGTTAATTGTGTAACAAAGGTGAACTGTTATATATAATTAATAACAGACAATGTATTAATCGGCACTGGCAGGAAGAAGTGGAAAGATAGAAGGACACACTAGACAACTTAAAAAACGATAGCTATAATTGCCGTGACGGAAATAGAACTTGTCGCTTCCAAATGAAGGATTTACTTCGCTGTGGAAACAAGTGTACTAGAATACATGACTAAATAGGCACACACGCACAAAAAGTGTCTTTATTCGCCATTTCTGTCACACAGCTTGAAATTTATAACTCTGGAATACTGACTGAACTGGTCTAAAACCATTCAAATGGCACCACAAGTTACCGAAATTTATATTTACTAAGCATACGTCTAATAACAAACACAACAACTATTACAAACACATCAGACCTTCATACTTTGTCTGGAATACAATGACCATTTCAGAAACTTGATTAGTCATTTCCATTGTGTTAAGAGTAATACACATAAATAAACCAGAGGAGGAACCGCTGAGGTCGCAGAAACAGTATACATATATATCTCTTTGTAAAAATGTGACGCATGTTTGGCAGGCAAATGTTCAATTTGTCGGGTGCTCATTTTATGCATAAAAATGTTTATTACCACCAGAGCTTGGTTGAGCTGAGTCAAGAACCAATGAAGTAAAAGTAGTCACTTCCGCACAATATCACTCTGGCTCCGTCGCAGCTTACAAACGGTGAACAAGATGAAAAAGAAGAAGAAGAAGAAGAAGAAGAAGAAGAAGAAGAAGAAGAAGAAGAAGAAGAAGAAGAAGAAGAAGAAGAAGAAGAAGAAGAAGAAGAAGAAGAAGAAGAAGAAGAAGAAGAAGACGAGTAAGAAGAAGAATAAGAAAAAAAAAAGAAGAAGAAGAAGAAAGATGAAAAAGAAGAAAAAGAAATCCTGCTGGTCTCTTGGTCGGATTAGAGAAGTTAGGGCCCAGGAACTTCTCTGAGATCAAATTAATTTCCCCTATCAGCTCGTCCAAAAAGCTCTTTCGTCACAATCACAGCTGATGAAGTTCGTGGTTTCAGAATTGGTTGACCAGGAACCGATTTTTCCACAAAAAATGTGTCCAGTAAATGAACTGATACAGCAAGGAGGCTTTCGAAAACCGCGACACTACTCCATAACCTTTTAGCCTAACGGTGCACGTCGGTCGTAGACAATCAATGCTTTCTAGTTTCTTGTTTTGTTACTTCCTTCATGTGCTTACGTACTTGTTTAATCTTTGAACATCTGAAATGTTGCTTTCGTTAAAGCCTTATAAAATGTTTGACTCAAAGAGAATTTTGGTAATAAAGATTTTTTAAATCTGTAAAGTCTATCTCTTTTTTTCGCGTATTTCTTAAATAATTGCACTAAACACATATCCCTCACAAAACACATTTTACCATGAAATCATTACACACACACACACACACACACACATATATATATATAAAGCGCATTAATAAAACATACTTTTTTTATTATGTTATCTTTTGGGCAAAGAACGACAAAGCCACTTCGTAGACAGGGTAAAGGTTAACCTATGAAGTGGCTTTGACTTAAAGCCAGTTTCTGCTGGAGTATTTCATGATTCGATGTGTGAGAGCGTGTTCGTTATGCACTTTTTCACATAATGGCTGAAAGTGCAGATCGATACTTTTTTTAAAACCATCCAAAATCACAATGGCAGATACAGTGGCACCTCGTAATTCGAACAGAATGCGTCCACAGGAAGCGATCTAATTCCAAGTCGTTCGAGTTCATGTGTTTCCTCGTTATAATCTCGAATCTGCGTAAAATAGGATGATTAGGTGGATTTCCTTATGCAGTTTCCTCTCACTATATCCTGGAATAAAATTATTGTTTTTTAAATGAATTACTTTTGTTTTCAACTTAATTAACTGGACACTAATGATTTCATCAGAGCACTTTAGTAGTGTTGCGCCGAAGTGTGTTACGAAGTCGTTTAGAATGCCAGCTTGTGGCAATTATATTTTATATTTACAAAAATTATCGAAATCAGATAATTTCCTTTATAACAGAATGATATGCTTTGATAATGTGGAAACAACAACAACAACAAAAATTACAACAAAATTAATTGCACGCTTTATTGTATAGTTTATCTCGTTGTATCTTGTCTGTTTGAAACTTCAGTGGCAACCACGTGGCTAACCTTGAATTTCCAGCGGTTAAGATTTACAGTGTAACTAAAGACATTGGGTTCTATGTATTTCCGGTGGACGGTTTCGTGACGTGGCTTTATTATAACTAATATTACTAGTAACGAACTCGGGCCCATCTATACACTAGCTGACCTGTCACTGATGGTTGCTCAGGCTAGTCAACGTTGCTCAAGGTTAGAGTGGTGTCCCGGTATACTGCTGTTTTCAGGAAGCTTTCTGCGTTGCGTGTTAATCGTTCTTCTGTCAGAATGACCGCCTACATTACGTTCTCACTCGTAAGCAGAATTAGTGTTTGTTGGTGGGTATATGACAGCCTTCTAGGAATTTCAGTAGGGAATGAGTTCTGGCTACCGCAAAATATTAGAAGTCTGAAACCACAGAACGTAGAATGCACTCTCTCGTGGGACCTAGGTTCAGTGGGTGGGATAGGGTTTGCGGTTAGGGCCAGTTGTGCATGTTATGGGGTCGTTAAAAGCGTTCACATCCTGTAATATAGAGCACGCATGGTCATCGGTAAGAGCATCGGCGTAATAGGACGTCGCAGCAAACTGATACCCCTGCCACTTAAATTTGCGCGTCTCAAAGGTTGGGACACATAAACGAACGTTAGTTTATATGTTTTTTCGACGGACCAACATCATGGCACACGGGTGCAACCCATAAGTGCTCCGTTCTACTTCTAACTCAAGCCTGAGACTGAAAAATCTCAGCGCAGTGGACAAAATCCGTAGTAGCAGCGAATATCCTGGAATATTTTGGGTAGATTTTTAACTGCAAATTTTTCCCTGGCAGAACACGCAGACACGAGACCACGCCCCCAACTCACCCCATAATTGACTTAACTCGGCAGTAACACACATATAAATATGACAGGTCATACATTGTGCAGTGCATTGTTTGTATCTGAATTATTAAAATTTACAACCGGAAAACTGTTTAGAATTATGTGTATCTATTTTTTTGTTAATAAGATAATATATTAGACCTCTGCTCAATCCCGTAAGACTTTAAAGTTGTGCAGCTGAGCAGGGTCTGACAGCACCGGTGGTGACTCTATGGTCCATTGTGCAAGTGACAATCTCTGTCACAATTTTCATGTCTATATAAGGCAGGCAAGGCAGGTAGATAGCTGTTTTGCTGGAAACAAATCGTCCTGTTCAACCTGCATCCCCGAAAGGGAAGCTTTAGGTTATAATTGCGACTAGGGTTTTTGCAACATATAAAATAGTTTAGCATTGCACGCCACCAAGAGCTCTGAAAAGAACTCCTGCAGTGTTGATGCGATCAAAGAAGACCGACCCCAATACTGTTTCCACCAGCGACGAAGTCGTCTAAAGGTGAGCCAATGGGCGACCCGGTCGCCTGTGGGTAGGCCAGGCAGTAAATGACCACATTTGATAAGTGTGCCACCTATCCTTAGATTGTTAGATCATAATGGGATCAAAGTGCACCTGTCTATTTTACACATCTCTCCCCCATCAATATCTGTCTTCTGCAACTATTCCCCATGTTTGTGTATCTATGCCACAAGTTTTCTTTTTTATTTATAGACATCATTATGTCGTATTTGCAATCTTCTGGTTGGCTTATTCCCTGAATAAGATCACATAATATACCAAACCAGTAGCGACAGGAGACAGACGACGCAGTCTTGAACAGCCATTAAACCTTTTGTGTGTTTTACCTAGTGTTCCAGACCGTTTATCGTGGAGCTTTGAGTGTCGTTTAAACCCTTTTGCTGTGTGTATTGAGACAACTGTAGTCTCAGCCATCTGCAATGTTATCTGGCCTTTCTTAAAAGGCACACTGCAAAATTACTCAGTGGGTCTATGCAAAGAGATACTTGTGTCATGCTTAGCATTTGAGCCGTAAGTTGCAGAGAGTGGAGTTCATTCATGAAGTCATGTGAAGGTTTGGCAACTAACGTAACCTAATATATTTAGAAATGGTGTGACATACCTGAAGATAACTGTAGTTTGTTATAGCCAGCGAGCTGTCCCTTGACTGCTCATATTCTTTGAAAAACGGAGTTTGTCTGAGAAAGAGGACATTGCTCTTTCGTAGAAGTGGTCTGTTCAGTGCATCCAGACAGCTGGTATTGGACATGATAATCCAAAAATGTTGCTTGGAAAATAAATTATTTCTGAAAGCCTGAAGGAAACAAAAAAGGATTCCACAGTTAAACACAATGGTAATCATGTATTAGACACAGCTAGGATGTAAAAATATTAGGCATACCTGTCCAAGAATATCAAGTCATTATCATTATTAAAAACAAAACAAAATAAGCAGTGTAATGTAAATGTCAAGCTTAGTTCAGTTATATTTTCTTGTGTGTCTTATGCCATTTAATATCAAGTACCCCTTCAACATTTCCACCTTTTTTCTCCCTTGGGATTCTTTGTTGTAGATATCACCCTCATCCATTCATCTGACTGACTGGCCTTCAGTTTTCAGTTGATGACTCCAAGAGTGTGTAGGTGTGTCTAGATGTAATTTGTCTTTTCTTAGTAACCCTGTGCTCTACTCCCAGCCGGCCCTTTTGTGTACGTATTCTTGTTATCTCTGTTGTCTGGAATTCTCTCTACATGCCTTATCTATTATAATTTATCAGCTCTGATTGAGTCATTGAAAATGCTGATTGAAACCGATTATGCAGTTCGTTGTTGTTTACTACGCAACGCCTAAGCCACGGACGCCACTGCATCTTTGATGGGTCCAAAAACTCCTGTAGGATTTTTCTCAAAAAGGCTTCATATTTTCTGTTGGTACTTCAGCTTCAGAGCCATATATAAGTATTGTTCTTATCAGGGTTTTATGTTACGTGACTTATGTGTTACGAAAGAGAACATTTTATTTGAGCAGATGTTCTGAGGTGGTATATAACAAGAACAGATCCACTGCGTTTCCAACAAGCATGTTGGGGGCTTTTTGAAGATGGAGTGCATTTGCCCGAGCGGCAAGGAACAACTAGTTGCACACAAATAAACCAGTAAAACGGATATACACGTAAAACTCAGCCTTGACACAAAGCCAAAGCCCAAATGGACGAACAACCAGGACTTTCCACCGGAGCTTACAGCCGGTGAACAAGGCAAAAGAAGAAGTAATCAGATTTGGAATGCTTACTACAGACATCCATAACGTTGGGCAGATATTTTTTTTTTCTCTAATAAAGAATATCAAATGTTAATTTTCCAGATCTTTGCGATACACATTTTTTTTATATCACGAAACGGTCTTGGTTGAGTTTTGACAGGCTTTCTTTTATTAGTTTCAGGAAGCAGTGTTATTTTTATTTTTTATAACAGCTTTAACAGGGGGTCAAAGAAAACTGTAATTTCACGATTTTCTTGTGCAAAGTATACTGTTAGTGAACGCAACACACAATATGACGTTGTTCCACGTTTTTTAGTTAAAGGCGTATCCACAAATTAGTGTTGAGTTATTCTGTCATATAGCTGGCTTATCAAAACTGATATATGCATTAATTTCATAATGAGTTTGAGGTGTCAGTTTATAATTATTGTTTTACTGTACCAGCACTGCCGCCGAGAATATAAAATGGATCATTTATACTGTGATATTTATGACCAAGAGAAACAAACAAAACTGGCGCTTGGTCTGTAAAGAGCATAATTTATCACGTAGAAACGTCTCTGAAAATATCGAGCTTGAACTTGAAAAACAAATTAACTGTAAAACTAAAATTTCATGCTACTAAAAATAGCCTAATGTTTGCAACATAGATATTCAAATTCTGCTTTAAAATAAAAAAAAATAAAAAAATAAAAAAAACCACTGCGATCTAACAGGCAGTTTTCGAGAAAATAGATTACGAATGATCTCACGAATTGCTGAACGGACTATAGTTGATGAAAAATGAGGACTGTGACTTTTTGTTGTTGTGTTCTTGCCTTTTCCATAACAGTATTCATGAGACTGGAGTGAACTGCAAGAAACACGTGTTGGGTCAGCTTGGTGGCGTTGATAACATCTTCCATGACCTGCTCAGTGAAGTCTGGCTGGAGCTGAAACATTCCCGTTCTCACCAAGGTTTTGGACAGTACTGTCTGTAGATGGGTCAATTGAACCAGATCTGTAAATTTGGGGAGATAAACATAGTTGAGATCTTACTTCTGACTGAAGTTCATTTAAAGCTTAAGGTTAAAGTCGAGAGGATCGACTTCACAGCACCAGGTCTTATCCCATATGGCTATGTCTCTCTCCGCAGACTATTTAACCTCTTGCCGAGAGCGTCGCACAGAACACGTTCTCTGTAGATCCGGCGAAGATCCCCAGTGATCTCCGTAAAGACAGCACACGTGAACAGATTGACACAGCTGTGAAACGAACCTCCTACCTGCAAAATGTGAGGCAAGCAGCTTGACTAGTTTGCCATGGAGATTCATGCCCTCTCACCCACTAATTTAAGTTGTTTGTGTTCACCAATCTAGCAACTTGAGCGGGGCAGGGGGTTGAGCCTAAGAATTTAGAGGCCGCATGGCTAGTGAAGTCGCCATGAAGTGTGAAGGTTCACATGTTTACCATCACCCTACCCAGGATCGGAATCCGGGTCTCTTCATGAGAACCCAGCATTATAGCCACTCGCTTATCTGCTTCAACGTGTTATACATTGAACTCAGAAAATTACATCACGTGGGAGACGTACCATATAGAAGAGGAATCGAATATGAAATTCTTAAAAACATTTTTTTAAATTTAAAAAAAAAAAAAAAAAAATACCTACACAAATCTTATGCAATAAATCCCTGCCAAGTGAGGAAAGAAAAAGAATTCTCTCACATTTTATAATATTAATTTAAGATATCACAGGGAATCTTTGACAATTATTAAACGAGCGAAACAATTTCTTGAGGCCCCAGAAATGTTGTTTTATAAAGGACCCGTTTATGCGCCTTTATGTGTATTGGGCATATAGCGCTATACCTAACTTTCAAAGACCAGTGGGTTAATGGTTAATGTGGTCAACATCATGGCGGCAGCCTTTACCTCCCCAGAATTTACCTGGTACCCATTATAGCCTGGGTAAACCTTGAGCCAAGGCCACTTTTGAAAAAGTGTGATTCTTCTCTGATTCGAACACACGACCTTTAGATTTGCATACGAGCATTTAGCAGCTATACAATGGCGGCTTCATTTGATTATTAGATAGAATGCAATTTTGTGGACATCCAGAATGAGTAACCCAGATGTTTTAAATCAGGGTAAAGGCCAAAGGTGCTAGAGTGCTGCTCCAAGTCACAAATTTTGGTGCAACTGACATATCTTAGCCAAAATAATGGTACAAAAAACCAGACCACAATTATAACCGATACTAATCGCAGAGGGTTGAACTTTGTCGATTTTGTTGTTCTTTTGTTTTACACAAATGAACGAAATGGACGAAGACGTATTATCATGGCATAGAGTAGTGTTAGCCACAAAAACACTACAGCGGGCTAGAAATGCTCTTGAGGCATGGGCCAATAGATGGTGTGTCAGCATTAACACAGACAAATGTAGCACCACACTTTTTACCCTGTCCCCCAAAGCAAAAAGCCGGCATCATCAAAATAAACGGAATACCCATAAGAGATGATAAAAAGCCCACATACCTAGGAGTCACATTTTATGACAGGTTGACATGGAGAAAACATATCAACAAGGCAGCAACCAAAGCCAGGAGGAAGACAGCAATACTAAGAAAACTAAGTGGAACCACATGGGGAGCTGATGGGAAAATACTCAGTAAAGTATACAAGCAGAGCTTACTTCCACACTTGGAATATGGGTCAAATGCATGGTGTTCAACATCTAGTACCACATTAAAGGAGTTGGACAAAGTGCAAAATCAAGCGCTCAGACTCATCACAGAAGGGATGAAATCAACACCCATATTAGAAATGGAGAAAGCTGGGAAAACACAGGCACTGAGAGAACGCAGAGATACAAAGTTCCTGACCTTCCAGAAATTGGTTGCCCACTTAAAGGTATTCCGGAACAAACCCCATGGAGAGAAAAATGCAAACTAACAGTACAAATCCAGACAAATGTGAAAGGGATATTTGACAAGAAAGAGCAAGATAGTGTACAACGCAGAATGGCCACCCTCAGTTATATTGATGAAGAATACCCACAAGAACAATGGGTCAGAGTCTATACAGATGTGTCCGCAGAAAGTGCAGTTAGAAATGGTGGTGCTGGAGTGTACATCGAATTCCCAGATGGTACTAGGGATGAGTCCAGCGTACCAACCGGGAAGTACTGCCATAACTATGAAGCAGAAACTCAAGCTATCAAGATAGCAACAGAGAAACTGCTAAATACCAATCTTGACTCACAGTATGTGATAATGCTGACAGATGCTAAATCAGTACTTGAAGCACTCCAGTCTAGGAAACTACCAGAATTGCAAACACTGCTGACACAACTCAGCCTTCAGCAAAGAGTCGTAATGCAGTGGATACCGTCTCATTGTGGAGTGCCTGGAAATGAGAAAGTTGATCAACTGGCAGGGGAAGGTGCGACAAAAGAGCAGCCGGATGTACCAGTCACATGTCACCAAAAGAAAAGAATCATTAAAGCGATCAGGAAACCACAAGCCCCAGCACAAGACGACATTTTTATTATGGACAGACCAGAACAAGTCATTATCCTCCGCCTCAAAACAGGGCACAACCGATTACGTAACCACATGTACACAAAATTCAAGATAGGCGTATCAGCCATGTGCACCTGTGGAAATGTGCCCCAGACAGCAGAGCATGTGCTCGAGGACTGCACCGAATTTGACACATTAAGGCAAACCTTTTGGCCAGAAAGAACAACAGTGGAACGTAAACTCTATGGACCACTGAATGAACTAACAACGACAGTGAAATTTATACAAGAGACAAAACTGCTGATATAGACAACTTATTTCAGGCGAACGAAAGAAGAAGAAGAAGAAGTAGTATTAACATATGAACTGAAACATGCTGATAGAGATTGCAGGTTGTGGAGAGGCATAATCCCCAAGCCAGTTGGAAAAGCACCTGATGATGATGACATAGGGCAATTATTTTAAAGTGACTTGAGTTTTTGTGACTGTTTTTAAACTATAAGCAATCCTAGTAAAAAGTCGATCAAAGTGAACCAAAAAACGAATGAATTTTATTTTTGAATGGTTAAAAATTAGGACTGTGTAATATTCTGTCCTTTTGACTTCACTTTTGCCATGCTTTTTTAAAATTCATACATCTATTAACAAGTAACAAAGCTACTTTAGTGAATCTACCCCCAACCCGATAAGTAAGTTTCATGAGAACTTGATGCATGTTTTTCCTTACCCTAGAAAATATGTTTTTTCAATATATATATATATATATATATATATATATATATATATATATATATATAAGTATATATATATATATATATATATATATATATATATATATATATATATATATATATATATATATATATATATATATAACTTTAGATGTAGGAAATCATTGCTGTGTTCCGCTGGCTGAGAATCAACTGTATACTCATGTCGTAAATGTAACTGACTCGCAGGGTATGTTGAGAAGGTTGGAGACAGGCATGCTCCGGACAGTGGCAAGTATCGCTTTGAAGGCTTGGAGTAGTTAGCGTCCTTTAGATATTTTTCACAAGAATTCTGGTGTGTTGGGATAGACTAGCCGGTACTGCAGCACTTGGAGGTAAATTGATGTGTAGCATGGTGTCCGCCTTGAGTGTTAAAGGTTCCGGGTTCAATCCCCTGTAAGGGCTGGGATTTTTTAACGTGGACTTGGACGTCTATTAATTTCCCCCTGGTCTCTGGGTAGTGAGATCGTACGCCCGTGTGCATTGTTGCACACGTAAAAATTCCGTGAGCAGTTGGAAATCGAAAAGAGCAGCCTAATGCCGCTGCCAGTGCAAAATGTTGAGTTAAAAATCAATCTAAAGTATTTCATGATCCTCGCCGGTGCTACAGAGCTTGTGCACTGTGCTGAGCTTCTTCGGATTCAGACTTGAATTAGAAGAAGAATGGAGCACTTATAGGTTACAACCTGTGTGCCATGATGTTGATCCGTTGTTCAAACCGTAAACCTTGAAAATATATAAGATATGTTCCCAGTTCAACAACGCATGGCTGCCAATTAATCATATTCAATGGGCTTTTAATCAATAAATCAATAAATCATATCAATCAACCATTTATGCACTCATTCAATTATTAATTCAGTCATTCAATCCTTCAACAGTTTAAACAGTCTAGTCAATCAGTGAATGGATGGGAACTCAAGAAAAATCCCAGACTCACCTAAATAATCGTCATAGATTAACACCAGCTCTTTCCACTGTAGAACTGTTTGGATCAAGACATCAATGACGTCACCTTTGATTGGCCCAACCGGAGCTAGGTGGAGGCTGTTCGATGAGGTCACATGACATGGAGAGATGTCCATGCTGAGTATCAAGTGGGGTAGGGACAGTTCTTCTGTCCAGTCATCGATGACCAGGACTATTGGATTGCTGGCTATGATGATGACAGCGGCACAATAAGGGTCCAGTAGATGACACCCTAAAGGATAAAAAACACACACACACACACACACACACATATATATATATATATATATATATATATATATATATATATATATATATATATATATATATATATATACACACACATATATATATAAAGGTAAAGTCGTGAGATGTGAACCAGCCTCATTGCCCACGGTTATAAATCATAAGTGCTCTGCCACCAGTACGGACAGCTGATAAGAAACTGTCCGCCTGTGTCGCCGTCTGCACGCAACTACGTAGCAACAGCGACGTTCCTCCATTTACCCCAGAGTGTTAACTCTGGTACCCATTTCCTAGAGGTTGGGTGAACCTCGGGAACCGCCCGGTTTTGAATACCGGCCATGGGCTGGAGTAAGCTGTAGCTGGATTTGACAGCGAGTCTCATATCGACTGCCCTAACGCATATATGTAATCTGGGGATTTACATGAGCTAAATTTCTTCACTAACTAGAATGTCTTTGCACTGGAATCCACAGGGACGGAAATAAAGGAAGACCAAACCAACATACACACACACACACACACACACACACACAGAGAAAAGAGAGCTAGAGGGATAAGTTAAAAGCTATGAAGGACATGAGGAGAGCTGCATGCGATAGCAAAGGATAGAACTACTTAGCGTGAGTTGGTTGAAGGCCTATGCTCCATTAGGGGTTATAAAGGCAGAAGAGAAGAAGAATTCTTCACAATGCCAAACTAAATCTACCCTGGTTGCCTGTGTAAAATATAAACATATCTCTCACAAACAAGATGATTTTTTCTCAATATAATCACACAGAGTAACAGTAAGTCTATCTTAGCATATTTAACACTTTAATATCCATAAATGTATCTGTCCGAGTTTAAATATAATAAACAATTGTCTATTCATCAATCTAGGCACAGTTCTCGCATAACAACATCTAGCCAACATTTTTCTTCAACAAGCAGTATATTTTTGTTGTTGGGTACATATCTCGCTATAAAACAGTATAAAACCAAAGGCTCCCGGCCGAAACGTTACATTGTTTGTGTTGTTTTGTGCACGTTTTCTCTGCTTCCTCATTTTGGTTAAGCTTTATAGTAAAATTTCACTGGAATTCTTTGTTAACAAAGTCGATTAAAAGCCCTCGAATGTGATTAATTGATAATAGTGTGCCGTAGAACTGGGAACATTTGCAGACAAACATTTCACAACAAACAGATAACCTTTATATTTTACCTTTGTTAACAAAGTCGAACAAATCCTCCGAGGGTATAACTGTTCTGTTGATCGAGAAATTAGCATTTTCTTGAACTCGATCCGAAGTCATGTCTTTGATCGCCTGTATAATGTCGTAGTTGAGGGGTATGTGTCCCATCTCCTCTATCACACCTTTATCAATGCAACAACCGAAAAAAAAAAAAAAAAACCAGTCTAACAATAATAAGTATAATAAAAAAAATGAGGGTATTTTTCGATTCTACCATTACAAAAGTGACACTTCCAAAATATTTCAAACTGTAACCACCTTGTTACACAGACCAGACAGCTAAATAAATACCAATCCATCCTTTCCAAATTCTTAACATACTTAATACTACCCCCCCACCATAAGTATCTTCATCACATCTGTAATAATAATGTGATAATATGTTGTAACAATTGTTAAATTTATGTTTTTTGTGGTACACACAAATACACACACAAACACACACACACATATACATATATACTGGAACTAAAAGAGTTAGAAGTCATTTTTATTTTGACAGCTTGAACTACAGTGGTCTTGGTTTAATCCCTCTAGACCAGTGTTTACCAAACTGGTTTGACTCCCCTTTTCTATGAAAAAAAAAAATCGTTCTGTGCACCCTCTCTCGGGAAATACCATCATCATGTGCCATGACGATGTGCTTAGATGGTCATGATTCACAATTCATACACGATCAGCAGACTCACCAACCATGTCGACACTCTTGTGTCGCCTTATCTACGTGACCAAACTATCAACGTATTTATATCTTTGCTTTCCACTGCCCTCTGTCCATTAATCTGGTCAATTGTCACCAAGCGCTCTAGTCAATGCCTTGCCTTGAAATATATCTTATGTAATCAAACAAAAGGAATGATGCAATGATACTTTTTAAAATCTTTTTTTAATCTGTTAAATGTCACAGATGGTATGTGATTTTTATCTTTTATTTCTGTTGAATGTCACAGATTGTTTTGAAAGTGTCTGTGGTGTTTTTCAATCCATGAGAGAGACGGAGCTGCATTAGGTTACCTGTTGCATTCTCGAGTTCGGCTACATTTCCATTTCTAGGGATATAGTAGTGGGTTGCAAATTCTCTACGTCTGCTGTTCCCATATGCCTTTCACCGAAGAAATGTCCTTGCCAAATGTGTCACGTGATGTTTGCAAATATATTCCCGCCGCCATCTCTATTTTCTTCCGCTGAGGTGATAATGCTTGCCAGTGATGAACAATTTTTTTCCTATAATTTCTTCATTTTGGATTTTTTTTGAGGGGGCTAACTATTGGCAGACTTCTCCATTGACATGCTAGGTTGTTTCTGGTTTATTCTTGATGTTACACAATTTCAAAATGTCCACCTGATGCAACTTTACTCCTAAATAGTGTAAATTCTTAAACTTCTTCTATTGCTTTACTGTTTATGATAACTGAATTTCCCGATTCTAGCACTACCTTTGCTTTAAAAAATGTGTTAATTTGGTCTGTTTTTTTTTTTTTTTTAAAGAGGGAAAACAACAACAAGAGAAGCATAACAAGAGAACCTCAAACATTCGATAGATAAAAGATACAAGATTAATGTTTACAACACGTTCAACACTTTAAATATTTGGGAACCTTCTTTACACACGATGGCACAACTGACAGGGAGACTGAAACAAGAATTCAATAGGCCAACAATGTCACGTATCAACTGACCCCAAGTTTAAATATTCCGATATAAACAAAAAGACATATTATAAATGCAGCTTTCATACCAACTCTGTGCTATTCATGTCAGACATAAGTATTCACTAAAGAACACGAAAGAAAACTGACCACCTACTAACTGAGAAAAACCACGAATACAAATAGAAAAGATCAAGTATGAAACGAAGACATTGCAAGAACTATGGGAACAACACCTTTAATTAACTTCCTTGAAAAACAAAAACAGACATGGTTGGGCCATTTAATGCCAATAACGAGAGGGTACAAAGTAAAAGTAGAAGCAACAAGATGTAGAGGACGACCAAGAAGAAAATGGATTGTAGAAGTCACCGATACCTTGAGACTCCATAACATCACAGCATACCGAGCAACCGAGTGTGCCCTAGCCTGGATACCGATGACGCCAGCGACACAAAGCATAATAAGGACGCCCCCCCCCCCCCCCCCCCGTCCCTTTTACCCCTACAAATACACGCAGAAAAAAAAGTGACTCACACAAAAGGGGTTCTATTTCTGGGTCATGATCTTTGGATTCCATGCATAGAACCGAGGTGACAAGAACTATACATGAAAGAACACATCCATAAAAGTGCAGAACTGTCGTCTGAATCTTCATCTTCTCCACGAGCCAGACAGCTACTTGTGATCGTCAGCCTGAGGAAACAGGAAACAGGAACGTTTCATGAGACATCCATGAGACGTTAAGTCTAATTTCTGTACTGAGTTAAAAGCTAAAGACGAGGGGTTCAGCTTAACTACAATGGGTTATTCCATAACGCTAGATCTATCTCAGCAGGGAACTAGCTTCCTGTCGAAAGTATGGCTTCAAGCACGAGCTTCGTAGCTTCAGGGACGATTCTCGGGGATCTCAGTAAAAACTGAATAGAACCAAGCGTCTATGAAAGAAATCCGCGACGTTTAGAGCGCTAGGCAAACGGCTTGACCAATTCGCAGTTTAAGACCCACAAGTAGAGAGGGATTCAGTAAGAGACGGTTTCTACGTCTTGCAGTCTATTGTGTAAACGTGGAAACGAGTCTTTGTGGCCAAGTAGTTAAGACGTCTCCGTCATGCTATAAGGGTTGCGTGATCAATTTCGGACTACACTCTTCAGTTCGTAAAAGCAACTGTTTTAGATTCAAACACACGACTACGATCTCTTCACAGCAGTCGGGTTATCATATGACTACTCCTTTACCCCAGAGCTAACGAAAACTCCACAGAGCACTTGGCACTGTAATTTCAACAGAACTGACACTAATTGCAATGCCCCCCCCCCCCCCCCCCCCCCCCCCCCCCCCCGGATATCCTGAATGTTGAATTAAGAATCGACATCTCAGCACTCAGGACACTCCCATAAATACTCCGTCCCCATCTTCAGCAGCAAGCGTAGAGTTCCCATTCCAATAGCACCAGTAACCGTCTGATTGTATATCCGTCTCATCCTTTCCCTGAGCGATGAGCGTCTGTCAGATCCCTTGGTAACTCCTCGCAGCACCATTCTCTCAAGACCGTAATGCTCTCCGCACTGTTCACTCGTTACCAAAGGGCCCTCACAATATCTAGCTTGTCATACACCATTCACGGCCAAGTGGTGCAGAGCTGACACGTCTATCTGCCCACTCATTTTTCAACCCACTGGCATCCCTGGAGAAAATATCCATGGTATGCTAACTACTCGGAACCTCTGAAGTGATGCTTGCCACTCTGCACGAAGCATGCCTATGTTCACCTTTCCCAACATACTCTGTGAGTCAGTTACAATCACGACAATCCCCGGATATCCTGAAGTGCGAAAAACCAACCATTATGTAGCAGCAGCAAATTGACTTATATTTGTAACTGGCTAGAAGACTCGCTGACTTGCTTTGTTACACTTCATAGTGTTGTCAGGAACAGATATCAGTATATCAGTGGTGCTTCCATTTTCACAGCAAATGGGTCATCCGCTAATTGCTCCTTTCCTGTGCCAGTAAAAATCACACAAAACTAACAGCTAGTGCACGCATTAAATGCACAAGGCAGCTGATTGAGTGTTAACACCACGAGTCTATCACTAGAATTGCAGTACGTCGTTTAAGAAGGCAGCAGTCACCACACACTGG